TGCCGGGAAACAGCCCAAAAGGGCTGTAAATGGCGCGAACCATGGCAAATAGCAAGAAGAGCAGCTCTGACTGAAGAAGCATTCTTTAGCCCCCCGAAACGGCTTGGCTTGCGATTTCCTGGCCCGAGCCCGCTGAAAAATAAGGTGCAAGTTCGGGGCCTGAATGGACCAAAGTGGCCGAGCTAGGTTTGTGGCTTGACCTGGCTGGGCTAGCATAGGGCCCAAAAGGGCCCCCCGAAGTGGCTGAGCTGTGGCTTGACCTGGCTGGGATAGCATCGGGCCCTTCGATTTCGGGGAGATGAAGTGGATTGAAGTGGAAGTCAAAGTTCGGGGTGGAAGTGGCTGAGCTAGGTTATGCTAGGTTTGTGGCTTGACATGGCTGGGCTAGCATTGGGCCCTGAATTGCCTGATTTCGGGGGACCCGCTGAAAAATGAGGTGCAATTTCGGGGGCTTGACCTGGCTGGATCTGGCTGGGCTAGCATCGGGCCCCGAAACCTCTTGGCTTGCGATTTCGGGGCCCGAGCCCGCTGAAAAATGAGGGGCCCGAAGTGGCTGAGCTAGGTTTGTGACCTTGGCTGGGCTGCATCGGGCCCCGAAACGCTTGCGATTTCGGGGCCCGGACGCGCTGAAAAATGAGGTGCAAGTTTGGGGCCCGAAGTGGCTGAGCTAGGCCTGACCTGGCTGGGCTGCATCGGGCCCCGAAGCGGCCTGGCTTGCGATTTTCGGGGCCCGTGGGGGCGGGCCTGTTCCGGCTGCGCTACACTGAGGGTGGGGCGCGCCTATGCAGCAAATGCAGGGCTGGGAAGTTGGCAGACTCTGGGTCTTGGTGCTTGCATGGATGCTCGAGGTCTCACAGCATGGCGGCGGGACGCGTCAAAGAGCTGTTGCTGTCGATGCTTGTGTGCGAGGATGATTTTGAGTTGAAGCACAGTGACATAGGCACCCTTTTGCCGCCAATGTGGACTGACTTGACTGCAGCTTGCGGCAGTGCGCGCTCCAGCTTGGAGCCAAGCCAATTTGCACGCTGTGGCGCAACACGGAAGGAGTTCAAGAAGCACTGGATCAGTTGATTGACAGGCTGCACACCCAAGTGGCAGACAATGCGCCGGCGTGCGTGCAGAATTCAAGGGCCGGATGTTCTACTGCAGTCCAAGCACATCAAAAGCAGTCCAGCTGACGCACCAATGGTGGCCACGGTGGCTACGTGGCGGCTCTGGCGCACACCAAGGTCATGTCACCGCAGGCCCTTCGAATCCAGGTGAGGAAGAGTCTGCCCAAGACCGCGCAGAAGGCGTTGGGCAGTCGCCGCGTGCGGAAAATCGCTAGGAAGCCGCTGGCCAAGCAGCGGCAACAGGCTGCCGCGAAAGGCGGCAGCAAGAAGGCGGGCAACGGCGCAAGCCAAGCTCAGAAAAAGAAGAAAGAGGCAACTCTTCGGCGACACTATGACAAGAGTGGCTGCTTCATGTCCAGGCGGCAGGCTGGGGGGCACCCCCGTTGGACTGACTGTGTGTTATATTTTCTGATGCTTGCTGACGGGCCTCAAAAGTAGCTCACATGAGCCATGCTAGAGAGCAGAAAAGCAAAGCAAAGCCGTCCCAACACGCAAAAGCCAACTTCCCAGCCCAGTCGCAGTCGGCCAATTTCGGCCAAGAGCTTTTCGCAGTGGGTGGCTTTACTAATCGGCACTTGCCATGGCGCGGCATCGGAGCACCAGCGTCGTCCGGCTTGAGAACAAAAAGAACAAGCAGAAGCGGCTTGGCATGGCTTGGCAGTTGTCTGGAGCTTTCCAGAGGCCTTCAGCTTAAGAATGTTTAAGAGCTCTTCGTGCAATCGTTGGCTTTAGCGCCGCCCAGGTATGAGCAAACTCAAAGATACGAGAAGTCTAGATCCAATGGCCGGTACCGGCTCACCGTGGAAGAGTATCAGAAGATAGCCCGACACGACGAGCTCCAGCAGCAGCTTGCGGTGGAAATCGAGAAGAATGCTACTTTCACAGCCCTTGTGCGCGCGCTGCGCGCGGAGAACTCGGACCTCAGCGCGATGCTCCACGTCCATATCCCGCAGCCGCTGGGCGCGCGCTGGTTTTGTACAAGGGGGTCCTTCTGGCAAGCGTGTGCGGACGGAGAGAGAGAGAGAGAGAGAGAGAGAGAGAGAGAGAGAGAGAGAGAGAGAGAGAGAGAGAGAGAGAGAGAGAGAGAGAGAGAGAGAGAGAGAGAGAGAGAGAGAGAGAGAGAGAGAGAGAGAGAGAGACAGAGTTGTGTCCCAAGCAATGCTTTGTTAACAAGACACGGGCATGATGTGCCCAGAAAATGCAAGTGGCAAAACCTTGTTTCTGTAAAATACCTTGCTCCTCTGACGGCTGGTGGACAAGTCAAAACCATGGTGGGCGAATATGTTGCCACGTCCCAGGCCTGTTTTTTTGGGACACCCCCGTTTGCCCATCAGGGTGGCGATTGGCTAAGGCCTGAGGCATCCACTTGTTTGAGCCGCAAGTGATGGCCGCTTTGTAGCTGGCCGCTGTGAGTGATGATGACCGCTGTGAGTGATGGCCGCATATGGCCGCTGTGGGTGATGGCCGCAATATGCCGCTGTGAGTGATGGCCGCTGTGTGTGATGGCCACTGTGAGTGATGGCCGCTGTGAGTGATGGCCGCTATGAGTTTAGCACAGCGCACGCTTTGCTTCAAGTAGGGGGGCACATTTTAGACAATGTGGGGGATCTCTGGGGGTTGCACAGGCATCGTGGCAATCATCGCCGATTCTATCCGATTCTGATTTGGACAAAGGCGCTTGATTGCTCGTGGGTCGATGGGGCGGAAGGGCGGATTTTGCACGTGCCAGCGGAGTTTCCCTAAAGAGTGGCTCCCCTGGCATTCCTGGCATGTGTGGCTTTGGGACCGTGTGGGGTGCGCAAGCTCTCTGCGCAGGAGCCCCCAGCTGTCGGCGATCTTCCAGCGCTTTGAGAGAGACTGAAAAAGATCTTGGATTGGCTTGGGCTTTGGGCTCCTGTGTGGCTCCCAGCCATTTTGCTCTTTTGGTGTTTAGTGGTAGTTTCTACTAAAATGACCAATTAAACGTTTGACTTTTAGCAGGGGGTCTGGGAATTGCCAAGGCTTGGCTTATCCAAACTGTTTTCTGGGCTCTAAATTGCAAACCGAGTTGTCACTTTCTTGGGGCGTAACGGAAACCAAAAGGGCAATCGTCCACTTTGGGGCCCCAACAATTGATGATCCATTTCTTTTGGGATGGTGGAATCTGGGTTCTCGCCGTTCCTTTCGCTGCCAACTGCCATCTGAACTTGGCAAGGCATGGCGAGGCTCATGTCTTACTGCCTGCATGTTGCATGCGCAACGCTGGATCTGCAACAGGCCAGGTTGTTTTGTGACCCCTTGGGATCTTCTTGATGCAATGGAATCAATATGGTAACCCTAAATGGGTTCTAGCAAACGGGTTCCTTTCAGAACCTGTTAAAACCTGCTAAGTGGATTAATTGAATTAATGGCTGTGTAGCCATGGGTGGCCTTAATTTCAAGACAGAGGCATCCCTTCATAGATGAGGTGAATTAAGTACCCTTGAGTTGGTGATTTGGATAGGTTTGAACCCATTACCATTAATTTGAAGCCCAACGGGAAAGCTAATTATCCCCCATGGTCAAAACCACCAAACCAAGCCACTGGTTTCGGGGGTAAGGTGAGGATGTGACTGAACCGAGCTTCCGAACAAAGCTTTTGCAAGAGACGCCAGGGCGATCAGGTGTTGCAGTATAGGCTCAGTTGTCCCAAATTAATTGTTCGACCAACGGTTTTCTCATTTGGGTTCATTTTAAGTCATGGCCCCAAGAGATTGACCTTATTATTTCTGGGTCTTAGTGGGTTGTTTTCCCACTATGTTCAACCATCGTTGCCGAACCAGAGCCATTTCCTTACCTTGGCTTGGCAGTGATTTGCTGAAAGCAAGTCAGGAAATTTGAAAGTTACCCCTAGCACATGGCCCTGAATTGTAATAGGGAAGCACCTCAAAAAGTGGCTGGTGGTCATGATCTTGGTTTGCTCTGGGCTTGGTGCGACGACACAGGGGCCGATTAGCACCACGTACGTGCCAGGGCCGGCCAATACAATGACACAACCTTGGGGAGTGTATTTTGCCGGGTGGGTCGGTGATTTGGCGCTGGGGCTGGGGATCTATAGTGACTTGTTGGTCACCAAAGGTAAATGATGTAGTACGTTCAGTGCTGTCTCTACTGAGGTACATGATGGGTACATGTTCACTGGCTTTGGTTTAGTCTTCCCAAAGAGTTGGACAAGTTGGCTTTTGGCTCAGACAGACATGAACGGTACCCGACCATGTCTAACAGGGGCAAACCAGGGTAGGTTTCTCCGCTGCGTCATACCAAACTCCTTATCTGCCAGGGAGTAGAACCCTTAATAAATGGCCAACCAGGATTTGGACGGGATGATTGCAGTTGTTGGATTCCTCGGATCCTGGGCAAGTTAGAATGTTTACCCACCAGATCGCAAACCAAAGCATTGACTGTGGGCAAAGGCTTGAAGCAAGAAACAGGCGAAACGCCTGGAACTCAGGCAGTGCCGAAACTGAACCTATTTCCACGTGTTGAGGATAGTCGCTTCTAGGTTCTTTCTTGGGGTTCTTTCTCAGGGTTCTTTCTTGGGGTTCTTTCTTAGGGTTCTTTCTAAGGGTTCCATGCACAAGAAGCCTCACTTTCCACAACCCTTGGCTCAAAGGGGTTTGATTGGGCGGCTGGCCCAATTTCGGTCAGTCAGCCATCTGATCAGGCAACCCTTGTCTGGCGGCTTGGATTTCTAGGTTGGGGGGGTTGGCCGCTGGCTCAAAAAGTAGAGGGGAGATGGGACGAACCATGCATGAGTCAGAACAAGGTCTTGCGCCATGGTCTGATCACTGTGGACATTTTGAGGGAAGCTCGCCAATTCTTGTTGTCCCCCATTTTAGGAACCCCATTCACCACGAGTGTCGGGCAGTCCTTTTCCAGAGCCATCGCCGTATCTGCCACTCTTTGTTCGCCTCGGTGTGGCTTTCAATGCATGCTCCTTCCTTGGACATAAACAAGACTCAGTGTCAAGGGTCGCATTATTTTCCCTTGCCCATAATTGTTGTGCCCGTCATATTGTTTCGGCCCATTATTTCAAGGTAGCAAACAAACCCTTCCCCTGCCCGTCCAAAGAAAGAGGCACCCTTCTGGTTCGAGGTGAGAGTCAAATCTACTGCACAAAAGGCAACAAGTGCCACTGAAGGAATCTGCTGCTGGATGCTCGCTTGCTACGCCTTGCTAGCAGGCACCCTCCCACCTTTTATACGTGGAGAACCTGACGTTTTTTGGGGTCTCTTGAAACAGAACATCGTCTTCCAGGACCCCCCGAACGCCAGGTTCCACATTCATTGGTGGGAGGGCAATTCGAGCGCCTGTTGGCTCTCTAGCTCTCTAAAACTCTCTGCCGGCTGTTTTTTCGGCCAGGAGCCGGGAGTTCTCACCTCCCTGGGTTTGAAACCTCCGTTAAAGAAAGGGTTGGGTTCCTATTTCACCACCACTTACCTAAAGACTGTCATGCAAATTGGGTCCTGGCCATTCTTTTCATGGGAATCGGTTGAATCTTAGGGTGAACAAAATCCCAACCAAAGGGACCTCACGAATCAAATTGGCCACCCGAAAAGTGAGTTCTTGAAATGGCCCGTCTGGTGGAGCCAGGGTCCAAAATTGATGGGCATGAGAAAATTCGGGGTCGCCTTTCCGGGTGGTTGCGAGCACATCTATTTTGAGTCAGGCATGTCCCTCATTGATTATAGACTTAAGAGGTGAGCCTCTTCACTCCAGATATCTTTCCTGTACCTGCTTGAACATGTTCGCACATGTTGAAAAAACCCACACGTCTGGTTCCTTCTTGTCTCCTGCCCCTGCCCCACCCCCGCCGCGTCCCCCCAAAACGACGTGATGGTTGGCTCAGGGCACCGATGGAGTGGGTATGACCCTCCAACACGAAGCCGGCCATGGGCAACGGTGTGGAGGCCTGGGCTTCGGGCTGTAGAGAAAACCCTTGGATGTTTGCTCGTAAGAGCCATTTGGGTGTGTCTCAAAATTGGGGAACCCCAAAAAAGGTGGCAACCCCTTGGGTTGCTTCGTGTTTTTGAAGAACCATTCAGTTTTCTTTCATACCTTGGTTGCTGTTGGGTGGAACTTGGGTGAATTTTTGCCTGGCCACAGCTGATATCCCAGGTGCCCTGTAAAACCATTCAGGTTGAGAATCTTTATTTGAGCTTGGTTGCTGCATCGACCCCTCTGCGTTCAACTTGTTGTGGGTCCAATACGCAAAATCCATGCAGTTTCAATCAACAAGTTGAAAGATCCAACCAAATAGCCATAAAAATAAGAACCATTGGGGGGGTTGTCTCAAAATATGGAAACCCGATACAGGGCGGTGTCCTTTTGGTGTTCCTTTAAAATGCTGAGTGGCCAAAAAGAATCCAGACTTGTTGTTTGCCACTAAAATGGTCTTCCCAAAAGTGACTGGAAGTGAGATGTCCCTAGGTAAGCAAGGGAACCCTAAAACCAAAAGGAACATGGCGAAGGTTCTACTGGGAACTGGGATCCACAGGGGAGGGTATCCCATTAATCAACCCCTGCTTATTAATATGGGGTGTTCCCCTCCAAAAGTGATAACTCCCCACCAAAGCCAGGCAGAAGCACACCCCTATTCGTCAACTGGGGATTATTGATCCGGGGTCAACAGTATTAGATTCGCTTCGGAGACGCCCAACTGCTGGTGGACCTGCATTTGCTCAAGTTCCCTGGAAAAAATCAAAAAAAGTCCAGTAGTGATAGATTCCCTTTCAAACCAACGGGGGAAAATAAAAAAATATTGTTAACCAAATGGAAGCGGGTGGAAGTTCCACAACGCGGCTGTGGAGCTTCCCCACCGTTCCCCCGGACCCGGCCTGCACCTGCGCGCCCGATGCTTGGCTCAGCACTGTCTGGACCTCGGAGAGCGAAGCGCCGCACTGTTCGGAGGGGAAAGACCATGTTTTGCTTTTTTTATGTTGACCCAGCAGTAATAAACCGTCCCAGTAGGGGGGTGTTCCCTCCAAAAGTGATGCATCCCCACTAAAAGGGCACACCCCCCTATTAATTCACCAGGGGTGTATTAATCCGGGGTGAACATTAGTCACCTGCATTGAGATGTTCATCTGAATAAAAACCCAACCGACTGGTTGTTATATATACATATATATATATATGGTCAAGGAGTCTCTTTTGGGATGGTGCGTGTCAGTGAAAGCAGAACGGACCTCACTTGCTTTTTGTTTGCGTTTGTATGGTGGGGGTTGTTTTAACGTTGCGGAACGCCCCGTTTCTTTGGCCCTCGCATGACGACAAAATGACCCCAAACGGGTGTCGGTTTTGAGGCTACCCTTTTTGGGTGCTGGGTTAAAGAGATGCCAAAAACAAACACCCATGTTGGGAGTCCCTTGTTTGGAGATAGGCCCAAACGGCATGGCGTGGCTGGCCTTTGTTTAGGTATCGGGGTTGTAAACCTCATAACTGGCCGGTGCTGAAACCAAGAAGTTGCTCATGTGCTCGGTGTTTTGCTCTGCTGCCTATTGCATGTTCCGCGATGGTCAAAAGGCAAACTGTGGGTTTCTTTCTGCATCCCAGCGGCTCGGGCCAGCGTCTCAGGCGTCGCTCGATGAGTGATCCTCGCATACAGCAAGTTCAAAGGGCTCGTCCCCGCATAGAATCCACCAGAGGGCACCCTTGATGGCAAGGTACTGGAGGCTTTTCCCTAACTAGTCCGGTGCTTGTCGAGGCGGATCCCCTATAGTGCCTACAGGGGGCATAATAAGGGCAAATAGGGGCAATTTTAGGGGATTTACACAATTGCTGCTTGACTACCTGAGCAACCTTCTGCCGTGGCATCGCCAAGAGACCTTTGCTGGAGGTTGCGTTTCTCCCCGTTTGCTACGGACAGTGCGTTGTCACTTTGAGTTGATTCCCATCCCCATTTGGGCACATCACACATGGCCTTTTGCCCGCGCACATTCCTTTGTGAAACCTGTATCGACACGGTGCGAAAAATTGCAATTGAATGTTTACAGGGCAATTTGAAATCCGGATAAACTCTACTCATGGCGGACCATCTTGCGTGATCTACGGGGGTACACCTAACATGGTTGGTATCCTTTGGTTTCCCTCAAACAAGTTACAGCATACCCCCCCCATAATAAGGCTTGCTGATCATGGCTGGCAATTGTTTTTGTTGGCTCCATACTTAGAAATCCAAGTTACATGGCGATTGTTGCTCTGCGTCGCGGGATTGCCCGCATGCTCCTGTCCAGCCGCGGCGTCTTGCGCAGGTTGGTGCCACGCGCGCCCACGCAGTAGCCGACGTCCTCGGAAAGTCGGGGAACCACCTTGTTGGCTTGTCTTAAAGGGGAACCACAGGCAAAACAACTATTTTGGGGGGCCACTAATTTTGAGAGACAATCCCACATAGAGAGCCCTCAATAAAATGACGGCTCCCCTCTCTTGACAAGACGAGTTCAAAAAAGGGTGCTCTCCAAAACAGACAAGCCCGTGTGGGTCAGCCTCAAAAAGGGGAGCCTCTTGGTTAATCGTGGTAAGTCAAGCAGATGGGAACCATCCATGTGGAGGAGTCCCACATAATGAGAGGAACCCATGTCCAAAACAGAGTTGTCGGGATCCCATGCTTAAAGCAACAATCCTAGTCAACCAATGCTGGTCCAAAAGATATGGGTGTGTGTGTGTTGAAATTGGGAGACCCCCAAAATCATAACTATGTTTTCTTCATGGTTCCCCTCTAAACCCAACCTGAATCGGGTACCCTCAAGCCTCAAGCAAAAGTATAAAACCCATACGATTTATGCTGGCGTCTCCTTTTGAGGGTACAATTGTCTCGTCTTTTGGAAGAAACTCCATCTTGGCTTGCTGGTCTTAGCTGGGAACGAGTTGGCATGACCCCCTTGTTTACGAACTGTCCATCCCATGGTCTACCTACAAAATCCCCGGGCCCCAGGTCCTTCTCAAAAAAAAACACGGAAACTCGATCATTCCCAAAACCTCGTGGCAGCCACTTACCGCCCTGGCCACGCGCGCCAGCGGCCGACGTTCCGATCCAAGGCGCCACTCGGCCGGTCCGCGTCCCCGCGAAGTCCGCCTGCTGCAGCGGCTGCTGCGTCACCGAGGGGGGCCTCTCGCGCAAAGCAAGCGGCTCGCTTCCGGCGGAGTGGCGGGGGTCTTCCTCACCTGAAAGGAGTTGGAAAGACAAGGCGATCACCTTTCGGGACCTCTGCATAATGGACCAAAATGGGGAAACCAAAGGTCAAAAGGTGGACCACTGAGCATTTTTGTTCAGGTCCCCCTCCTGGCGGAGATTTGTGCCAGGTGGCGGCAAAATAGACCAACTTCTGAATGGGCAGGGGCAAGGAATGGTCCTAAGAATCAACAAGGTGGACCTCGTCTTGGTTCTTTCAAAAGGGCAAACAAGCCGTTTCAGGGTTCCTGATTTTTACACGTGCCCGAAAGGCAAAGCTGCAAAAGCCAGAAGCATCTGGTCATTCCCCTGCGTAATACCAGGGCGGTTTCACAAGACACGTAGACTTGGGTTTCCACGGTCCTGACGTGTCAGTTGCTCTCCCTATATTTCCCTGAAAAGGTACAGCCTGTTGATTTCGTGTTTACACGAAAACAAGAAGACCACCAGTTGACTTTACTTTGGGAGGCCTGGTCGGCAGAGAGAAACAACCGGAATCTCTACAACTCACCAGCAGCATGTTGGCGTAGGCACCCAAATGGCTCTGGAGTTTATCCCCGAATTGCCCCGGGAATAAGTGCCAGTTGGCTACGGATGAAGGTCCCCTTTGTCTATTTTAAAGGAGGGAAAAGCTACGGTTGGGGTCCGGTTAGGACACTTTGCAGCCCAAAGAATGAATCAAAGGGCGCTTTAAAAGGCGTAGGAGTAATCACCCTTTTGAGTTGTTGGGGTACACCCCCTCTTTTGGGGTTAAAGCCCAACCCACGTTGAAGCTCCCATCTGCAACGCATCCGACTTCCGGGCAAATGATCATTCACCAACCGAACATTTCATCGCCCCCCCCAGAAAGAGGCCTCCCTATAATTCCCCTTAAAACATCGCCCCACCCAGGGACCCTCACCTTTCATGGGCCAAAAGGCGATGTTTAAACCCACCAAAAAAGGGAGATATAGGAACCCCCCAGAATCCAGAAAGGAAGCTTCACTTTGACCTCGCCGCGATTTGAACGAATTGACAGCCCCCGGGCCCCCGGGCCTCTGCGCGGGCGAAGCGTAGACGTGGGTGGAGGTCTGGGTGAAGATGCTCCTCGGATCGACTGGCCAGCCGCGCGGATGGTTTGGACACCCAAAAAGGAAAACCAACCAGTCCCCTGTGAATCTTGACCCCAGATGCTGTCAAACCATCCTAACAGCCGAATGAAGGCCCTCCAAAAGTGATCTGAATCCCCGCTCAACCAGGGACACCCCCCTAATAAACAGGGGTTCTGCTTAGATCCGGGGTCAACATGTTGACATTTCGTGTCCAATCGATAGACCAACCAATCTCAAAGGCCGTGGATCTTAGCGAGATTCCAGCCCCCCAACTTCAGGTCTTAGGCCATTGTTGCGCCTTTAGTTTCGTGCGCCGTGCGCCTAGAAAAGCAGAATTCAGAAAAGTCGTAAGACATATAGGGCCTACATGACTAGAAGCTTCTGGGTTGTGGGGTGCTTTAATGCTTCACCATAGTCTAGTTCGTCCTTCATGATCAGAATAATGTATTTTTTTTTCTCTCTGTTTTGTTGTTTTTCTCCGGCGCTCATTTGATTCACCTTCATTGATTGGTAAGAGCTCGTTTTGCACCCCCGGAGAGTGCTTTCCAGATGATCCGGGGTGAAGGCAAAAGCGAGTGACCTTTTCAAGGACCGAAGCCATGTACCAAAGAAAACACGCAAAGAAAAACAACTAAGGAAGGCCTCACACGGTTCAAGGCCCCAAGGAACGATCGAAAAGGAGCACACGTTGGATACGTGTCTTTTCACTTGTTCCCTCATGTCGACAAGGGCTTTGCAAAGATGGGTGTGTCTGTGTTGGAGTCGGCACATTTTGTTTGGGGGGGCTGTGCTTTTTCAAGGAAGCCAAACGGAAGCCCACGGCGATTGAAGGGCCCTCACCTTTGAGAGGCAATGCAAAACTCAACTGGTTCGTGGCTCTACTGTGAAGAAACCATCTACGTCGAACCAAACAAACCTAAAAAAGACCCCAGCAAATGCAAATGCAAGCCAAGGTGCTCGAGCGAGCCAGCATCCCAGGCAGGCGCAGGCGCCTGTCCTACAAGGGCGCAAGGCGGCTCAGCCCCTTCCCTTTTATCTATAGGTAGGCGTGTGTGTGTGTGTGTCAAAATGGGATTTCCAAGAGTTGTGGCTTTCCTTCCGGTTGCGCACTCTAGGGGTGCCATGAGGGAACAGAACAGGAGACTCAGGTTTAGGAAGAAATGCGAGACTCAATTTGGTGGCTTCCAGCTGGCAGTCCGGGTGGGCCGCAAATCGACTGGTTTCCGCGTGCGTTTCCGCGTGGTTCTTTTCTTGCCCAAGGGCACTGTCGCGCCCGCGGCATTCGAAGGATCCTGCGGGTCAATTCCTGGCTGCCTCTACTCTAACTCGACCCCCGGAAAATATGTCCCAAATACATTTCCGAGTGAACTTCCCCCATGGTCTTGCCCCCCCTACTCGCCTTTTGTCAATGAAACAACCACAAGCGCCGCTCGGCTCATAAGCTACTTGCCTTAGAGGGTTGTCATGATTGCACCGCGAACCATGGTCCGAGAAGATCTGCACCCCTGCCTCTGCGCTGGACTTTTGCAGCACAAAATCACAAGTGGTTCTTCTATTTACGAACGTTGGTTCAAAATCATAAGTATTCCTTTGACTGAAAAACATTCATCTGCTTCTGCACAGCGAGTGTGAGGTGAACGTTGTCCAATCCAAATATGTCAGCTTGCTTTGGATAATTGCTTCTTACACCTGCGGTGGTCACCTAACAGCACAGCAAAAGGAACTCCAAAAGAACTCAGTTTACGCCAAACAGAATTGGTCTCTTGCATTTTGCGATTTGCTTCGTGCCTGACATTTGCGGACTGTGTCAAATGATGCCCGAAGTACGGTGCCTCCGTCTTCCTTTGCAACATAGCACCGTCCTGAAACTTTACACGGCTATTTTCATTCATGGCAATGTAGCAACATTTCCCGCGTTTGTGTGTGTGTGTTCCTTTTGTCTGCTTGCGCGCTTGCTTTTGCACTCCGTGTTTTTCCTTGGAGTGGGATGTGCATCACAAGGTTTGGATTCATGTCCGAGGAAACAAATAGATGGGGATGGGTTTTTTTAGATTCCTTGTCCAAGACCCGTTGGCATACCTCCCTTGCCACAAGCCGCTGCCCCTTTGGTGGTGGGCTTCCACGAAACCGAAGGGAGACCATCGACGGACCCTTTGGTATGCAGGAATTTGGTCTTGAATTTTGAAGTGACGCTTGCAGATGTTGCGAAACTTCTTGAATCAGTCACTCCGGATTCACCCTCTGCGCTTCAGTTTGAAAAACGCTCATGCTGCAACATATTCCAACATACTCCAACCAGCATTCCATGGTGGAACCCCTAATTACTCCCCAGGAAAAACAAGATGGACACCCAAAGAAATAGCCTGCTGGCAAACACATCCGTCTTTCCCCGACAAAATCCTCAGCCCCGGAAAACGGCAACCTAAAACCCCAATATGTGCCACAATGGCGTTGTGAATTTCTGGTTTGAGTACACTTCGAACTCAATTGCTTGCGCTCTAAGTGCTCCAAACGGTGGCTAACCCCAACATGGGTTGCTCTGGTAAATAAACAACACGGACCAAAACCTTAGAGTTAGGCCCAGTAATAGAATGCATATATTTGTTTGTTTGCTTCACTTTGAGTCACTGGTAAAATGTAAAATGTATCCCAAGTCTACCCCAGCGGTCTGGTGGCTTCATTTTGAACTCCTACCCCTTGCGCCCGCTCCTGTGATGAGCTGCTGGGCCGCTCGCTGCAGCTCCTCGTCCGGAGGTAGCTGTGGATCGAAGTAAACCAACCGGGGGGCTGCGGATTGCCCCGGCAAAAACAGGGATCCGTACCATTATATACCTGAACATTGCCTTGTAAATGGTGGGTTGCCTTTATCTTGGTGGAAAAAGCCATGTTTCAAATGAGCAAAATGTATCTTTTAAGGAGCCCTGCAAAAAGTGTTCAACTTCTTGTGGGTCCAAGTCGGAAAATCCGAGCTGTTTCGAGCAAAAAAACTGAAGCCCGCATACCCGTAAAGAAGGGACACCTGGCCCCACTGTCACTTTGCTGACCGGAATCAAACTGTCACAATTTGGTTTCGACCAGAGGATCATTCTTCCGGTCCAAACCAAACATCAGCTTCTAGTTGGCGGTTTGGATTGATGGTTTGGAGATTTTGGGTGGTTTCCCCATTTACAAATGACATACCCCCTACAAGAAACTAAAAACGGGATTTGGGTTCCAATGTGAGATTTGTGTGGCCTGTTCGCCAGGTTTTGGGTTGACGGTAGGAACGATGTCACGAGAGCGACTTGGGGACCCGACATGAAAATCCTTTAGGTGGGCTACTGTTCTATATGGCTGTGGCTGAAAAAACCTTTACCAAAATGGACCCTGGTGAGTGGAAACATGGACCACAATCTGCGTAACCCCTCCTGTTCAATTTTGAACCACACCCATATACCAATGTTGGACCCGAAATGGAGATCCACGCGGGGAATGGTGAACCCCTCAGCTCGCCGTTCTGAAGATCCCCAGGGCCCAAGAAGGTGGGGGGGTCGAAGGTCGGCCTCCCTTTTGGGAACTCCTGAGCTGCGTTTTCAAAGGAAACAAGGGAAACCAGCCATCTTGAGTGCTCCCTGAATTTGAGAGACACACGTTTCAGATGATTCCAGCTGGTGTCGATTTACAAGCAACATCCCCCTTCCGCATACGTAAACATCCCACACACTCCATGGAATATTAACACATATCTAAATGAGTTGCCATCCAAATGGGTGACATTTGGTATATACTACCATAGATTGTGTGGGCATGAGTTTGCACCTATCTGAACTGCAACAGCTCGAGATCTCCCTGCCAGTGCACCCGGGCTGTGCTGTTCGTGGGGTGAAGGTGCTGAACTATATTGGGTTGGTCTGCACTACTTTGGGGGCGATCCTTGTACAAAGCCCCAGCGTCTATTCATTGAAAGGAAACACTACTTGGGCACTTCCTGGAACACGCTTGGTGTCCATCCAACAAATTTGGGCCCATTTTGCGCTAGCCCTTTGCCAGTTGGCGGAAATCCAAATATGGTAGTCTCTCGCATTGTTTCGGAACATACCCATCCCACGCGCCGACTTTCGCGGCACTCCTTAATGTTGACCCCAGATTAATCTGTTTTTTTCATGTGAGGGTGTTCCCCTCCAAAGGTGACGAATCCCCACTAAACCCAGGGAAAAGCAACCCCCCAATTAGTTCACTGGGGTTCTACTGTTCTAACCAGATCCGGGGGTGAACATTAAGTGGCAGGTGCTGTACTTCGCTCATTTGCTGCTTTGCGATGCTCATTCCCTGCTCATTTGCAAAAACAAACTTTCAGCCGCTCCTGAAACTTGGAGATGTCGCCCGTCTGCGGCACGTCGGGGTGATAAACCTCCGGGCTCGGGTAGTTACACTGGATTTCCCACAAACTGCAAGCGGACCAGCGGATCACATCCAAGCAAGGTCATTCCGGGAGGGATTCTACACTGTCAGAATTGCCCTTGTTTTTTTGAAGCAGGAGGTTCGGAAGGCAAACCCTGTATTCAACCACAAAACAAAAACGTGTGGTACGTCGAAGGGTTTCAAACTTGTTCCCCTACTTGCACCATGTAGCTGGCATCCACCAGGGCGAATTGAAGGCCTCCAGTAAAGGTTTCATGGGTCTTCGCTCGTTTTCCCCCCTCGGTGAGCTCGTGACTGCGCCGCTGCGAACAAGTGCGGGTCAAAAATAGAATCCCAACATGGGCTGCTCTGAGAAATGGAACTACGGACTAAAACCTGCGGTCTGGTGGTTTGATTTTAGCCCATGCCCAGCTCGTCTTTTGGCTGATATTCCTCGAGGATGGTTTTGAAGCAATCGACTGCCTCCAACAGCCACACCTTGTCTGAGCCCTTCCCAGGTTGGGGGAGTAAACCAGCTCGCTGAACTTGCTACACGAACCTCTACTTTCACTCCTCGCCTTCATCAACGTTGCGGTTCCAACAAGGGAAGCCAATAGAACGCAGCATATGCTCCAATGACTGTGTTTTTCGATGAGAAAAGTTTGAATGACTCAATCAACATGATGCTCACCCCTACACACGGGCTTCTCAAAATAGTGCAGCTGCAAGAATTCTAAGCGTCCGTCCCCCACCCGCACCCCGCCGTACCCACCCAGCCCCCCACCCCCACCCCATGATCATATAGCCTCATGGCTCACTTAGCCTGGTTAAACTCACAGCTCTGCTGCATTATTTCTGCAGCCTTGGTTTGAACCGGCGCACGCACACACAAGCTCACTAACTCTCGCGCACGGCGGGGGCTGCTGCTGCTCTTGGCTGGACCTGGCGGGCGCAGCCTTCGACCTGCGGTGGCGGCGGCAAGGGCGGCGCCCCCGCAGTAGGGCTCAGCCGCAACAGGACTGGGAAACTGCCTGCGGGGCATCGGTATGAAGCTTGCGGTAGAACTCCCCCCTCTTGTTGTCTGGAAGCCTCCATTCCAGGTCCCGCGCGTGGTTGCTCAAAACAACAACTTCATGCCTTCAACGACCGCTGCACCACATGCACTGACGACCGACGCGCCCTAGCCATGGAGCTGAGAAGGCACATCTTCTCGCGGCAGTTGGATTCGATCACTTTGTTCGCCGACCACTTCACACTGCACTTGGAATTGACCGCCTTTCCCCTTCGATCAGCAATCATAACATTCGCTTCACCATCAGAGCAACTATTGCATGTCCAACTCAGTGCCTTTTTGCCTGCGCGAAGCTTGAAAGAGACAATGCAATAAAAACTCGTACCTGAGAGCAGCGCGAGCCTTCTGACCAGCAATGTACGGGTGAGCGTCATCGCCATCTTAGGGACCGGCTGTGGTTGAATGATTCATCAGCCCTTTCAATGATTCAATGATTAATGCCGGCAAGTGGCTGACGCAGCTATGGATCTCCGCAAGCATGACACTAACCGCCGACTCAAGGAACATGTTCCAATAGCACATGTTGATTTCATCGTCATACGGCTGACCTTTGGACTGACAGGCGCTCAGGCGTGTCAAGTTCAAGTTGCCAAATTATGCAAAATAAACTGAGGCCATGGCCTAAGACAAGACCGTCGGTGGACGTGCCCTTGTCCACGTATTCCGGTGTCACGCGACCACCCCACCCACCCCACCCCACCACCCCACCACCAACACCCACCCCACCACCACCCCAACCCCAACCACCCCCCCACCCACCCACCCTCCCCACCCCGCCCACCCCACTTCCACCACCACCAACACCCCACCACCCCTACCCCCACCCCCACCCCCCACCATACCATACCACCCCACCCCACACCCCACACCCCAACCACCCCCCCACCCACCCACCCTCCCCACCCCGCCCACCCCACTCCACCACCACCAACACCCCACCACCACCCCTACCCCCACCCCCCCCACCATACCACCCCACCCACCCTACCCCACCTACCACCACCCCACCCCCCAGACCCTGCCCCACCCCACCACCCCACCCACCCCCGCGCCACACACCGTTTTAAGGAACTTATTGAACTTTGAGAACCTAGCTTCAAAGAAACACCACTGATTTTGAGAGGACACAAACTGCCCACTTTGAGGGGACACCCCGCTTATTTTCATGGAAACCCAACTGCGTCCCGCGCCTTTGCCAGGCGCCGGAAGGCGCCGCGGACCTGGTCCTCGTCCCGGGTGCCGGGCGGCAGGCCCAGCACCTCACGCCAGGCCAGGGGGTGGACGCCATACATGGGCCGCGTCGGTTGAGGGAATATTTCCTTTGTGGGGTTTGATGGTTTGTTTGTTTTTTTTGATAGGGACAGGAAAGAAGAAAGGAGCGAAGCATTTTGGACAATCTCGGTTCCCCCATTTCAGGTGAGACTCACTGGGCGAGTGAGGTGAAACCGCGATTAAACTCCTGCAAGTCGAGGTGAACGGCTCACATGGAGGGATGTAAACCAACCAAACATCTTCAAAAAGTGGAGCTGAACCCGTAGAAAGAATGCATTTGAGAACCTCAAATTGCTGCATTGCTGCTTGGAGTGGTTGTTCCCCCGCTCTTAGCAGCCTTTTCAGAGGCTCATTTTGCGCATGCCTTGTGGACCCAGTAGCAAAGCCGGCGACCCAAATGTCTATTCAATTGACCACCGCATTTCCACGCGCTTTTCGCAAGTTGCGCGAACTCCACAAAAAAAGGCGGGGGTGCGTTGATCATGGGTGGGGGGGGCTGAATCTGGAACATACATATATATATATATATATCATGTATGTATATAGATATACCATACATGTATGTATATTGTATTATGTATATATATATGCTATCCCCCCAAAACCTAGGTTTCATCACTTTTCAAGTGGATTTGTGCCAGCAAGGGTTGCCACACAAGGTTCATTCTGATAGCGGGCCAGGTTGGTTTCGTCACTCTTCAAATGGATTTGTGCCAGAGTGGATTGAGGAAGTGTCATTTTTGGTTGATTGAACAGATGAGGCTGAACAGAAGTAAAGACAGACAGTGCCCTGATAGATGACGAAGAGATGAGGAATGAAGCGGTGGTGAGTGACATGTCCTTTCACCCAACCACCATTCTATGCTGTAGGTGAAAGACCATGAGATTACAGTAAAGGAAAAGAGATGGAAAGAGATGAATGATGGTGAGATTTCTTTGTCACCATCTGGTCATTACATTTGGTGTCTCTCTAAGACTCATCCAAATGTAACCCAAATAATCTTGAGATGTCTTTGTTAATAGCCGCTGTGTCTTTTCTATCTCTTGGACACAGCTATTTTCATATTGTATTATTTCCCTTTCATTTGTATTCCTGAGATTCTATAAGATACGAAAGGTAAATAATAATAGAAAAGAAAGGGAGATGATGATGGGTGACGAAGGAACAGGGAAGTGAATGAGAAGACAGTGAAATGACACGGGAATGGAATTGTGGGTGAAAAGATGTCCACCATTCTAGTCCTTTCGGTAGTTCCTAGAGACACAAATATAAACTGTTATCAATGTATACAAATAACCTGATGAAGAGATAGAAATATAAAAATATGAAGATTAAATAGAAAAGCAGTTAATAGTTAATAGATCTTAAGATGAGACGGTGAGGGATAAAGAAGTCTCATCATAAAACCATTCTATTTCTCTATCTCTTTCTCACATCACATCCCTTTCACCTCTGTATCTAGGATGTGATTAAGCGGTGAGAAAGGGAGAGACCAAATGATTTCGAAGATGAAGGAAGAGGAAATCATTGTGGATGAAGAGGAGAGAAATATAAGATAGTAAAATATGTGTAAATGCTATTAATCTAGAGATCTATTTTTTGGCTCCAAGCCTTTCTAATCCTCATCCAATTTCTAATGCTGGATGAGGTTATCACATGCTATTCCTTCCTTCTGTACCTCTCCTAACCATCTGGATCCGGAGATGAAGGGAAACGACAAGGAAGAGAAGCCAAATAATGAATCCAGGCTGTTTCCTTTCTCCTCTCCAGCCTGTCAATCACCGGCCACACGAAGGAATGGGCCGGGTGAGTGGGTTTGTAAGTGACATCTCTTCATTTGTCACCTAATACTAGAATATTGGATTTTATTAATAAAAATCCATTCTAATTCTCTTCATCAAGGATTCTACAGATAAATCCAAGATGAAGGTAAAGAGAAAGCAATTAGGAGACAAATGAATGGGATCTCTTTCACCCATTCATATCTTCTCTTTATCTTACTATCTTATATTTCTCTCCTCTTCATCCAAAATGATTTCCAAGATGAAGGAAGAGGAAATCATTTGTGTGTCTTTTCAACAGACTCTTGTCTGCAGATGTACCTGATGCCCTTTTGTTTAGCAGATATTTTCATGTGGTGAACTCAGCACGCTGGGAAATTCTGCATAACAAATTGTAAAAACCCTTCAAAAATGTACGTTTTTCCATGTATGCAGTGAGCACACAACTCCAGAAACATGCAGTTTACCTGCACCAAATGCATGTTTCTGTAGAAACTAGAGCAAAAACCCTGGAAAAATGATGATTTGTATATTTTGGTAGGAAAAGTGAACAAATACCAAGGAACAGACACCAAGCAAAGTAAAACAATAAAACAGTAAACAAGTAAAAAAGTAAAATAGCTGGACTCATGAAAAGTAAAAAAGTAAAACCGCCAAAAGTAAAAAAGACTAGGGGTGTTTTACTCGTGTTGGGAAAAAGTAAAAGAAACCCTAATCGTTTGTTTTTCCGATAAAAGTAAAAACAAACCTGTCTTTTTTACTTTTTGCCAATAATAGTAAAAAAAACCTAGTCTTTTTACCTTTTTCGCAATAGAAAAAAAAACTAGTCTTTTTTACTTTTGGCGGTTTTACTTTTCTACTTTTCATGAGTCCAGCTATTTTACCTGTTTACGTGTTTTTACTTTTTTACTTTTTTTACTGTTTTGTATTTTTATTTTTTTACTTTTTACTTTTCATGGGTCCATATATGTTACTTGTTTACTTGTTTACAGTTTTATTGTTTTACTCTGCTTGGTTTATGTTCCTTTGTATTTGTTCACTTTTACTACCTTTTTCCAGGGTGTTTGCTCTAGTTTCTACAGAAACATGCATTTGGTGAAGGTAAAATGCATGTTTCTGGAGTTGTGTGCTCACTGCATACATGGAAAACACGTACATTGTTGAAGGGTTTTACAATTTGTTATGCATAATTTCCCAATGTGCTGACCTCCCCCCCCCCCCACAAAACCTTGGTTTTTCTTTGGGGGGGGGGGGTACCATATATATATATATATATAATACGTATATACCATATAATATGTATATATATATATCATACATATATCAATAGTGTTTATAACGCCCCCCCTTGGGACTCCCTCCGCGCGAATGTTTGGGCCCCCTGGCCACGCAGGGGTCCGGCTCCGCCCGGCGCAGGCTGCGCAGGCCGCGCGCGGAAGCGCCTGGAAGCTCCCGGATCGGCCAATCGGGGGAGCTTCCCGCTGTTTGGGGGTCCTTTTCGTTGGAAAATAGCCCTGGTAGTTGATTGAACCAGGTAAAAACCAGGGCCCGAAAATTGTTTAAGCCAAAAAAGGACACCTATGGCTGATAGTCTGAGGGAGTGTACCTTCCAAGCGCCTTCTCCCTTCTTTCCAGATTTCATTGAGTTGATTGGAAAAGGAGCGAGAACAGGCATGAGATGCTTGCTTAAAAGCTGTCTCTGGGGGAAATCTTCAAAAACAGGATTTAAGATAACAAAGTAGATTTGAGTATTCGAGTCTGCGACCTAACATGTGGATGCCAGGGATTCGGGGGGGTCTTAAGCAAAAGCATAATAAGGTTCTCGTTCTTCTGAGGTGGTTCTAGAAATAACTTCTATTCTTTCCGGGGGTTGAATCTACCAACACTCGGGGGGAACAACCGGTATTTGAAAAGAACAATGTTCAAAAGCATAGGCAAGGAATCAACCCTTAGAGACGGCTCGCCCAGAAAAATAAATTCGGGTACTTGAACATGCAACCGGAAAACAACAAACTCAATCAGCAAAGAAGCATGACGCTGAAAGAAACTCCCAAATCGGGGATGTAACATGTCCCTCGTCTGGTCTAAATGTCATGTTTCTGTTGTTCATATATCGTCTACTTTAAAATGCAATGAAGTTTTGGAGGAGACCCCAGGATTTCGCCCACAAATGTTTTCACGCAACCGAAGCCTGCCTGTTTTCGCGTCACAAAGCGGTGACTGGCCCTGCCTCGCCGCCAACAGCCTGGCCGGTTCTTTCGAACGCGCGGTTTTCGCGCCACAAATGGCTGTGGGTCAAAGCCAATGGGATCCCATTTTGGTTTGTAGGTGAATTCACCACCCGTTTCAGGCTTCCTATTTCAGTGGGGATTGGGTCCCGTTCACTGGGGGCTACGATTTGGATTTTGAGGGTACCCTTCTCGGGGTGTGGTGAGGGAAACCAAAGCGCAAGTTGGGCTGCGGAAGTCGGACCCGAGTCGCCTGTAAAGCTCAATGGAAGCTGCAACAGCAGCAGTGCGCCTCGGGCAACAACTCTCTGGCTGAGCCAAAGCCCTGGAAATCGGTGGCCCTCAAAGACCTCCAAAAGGCCCACCTTGAGGCATAAACCCACTCCCATGGTGCCCCCGAGACCCCTCTCCCATGGGTCCTGGAATCCTGTCCAATGCGAAAGACCCAACAGTAACAGGTGATCACCTTTTGGGGCCCTGACCAAAATGGATCCAGAATGGGAAAACCAAAAGCTCAAAGGTTGGCAATTTGGGCAACTGAGTTTCCCTCAAGGAAGGTCATTGAAGGGGTACGTAGCGAAAAAGCTGCTGGGACTCCGCATTTGTGCGGTTGATGAGACTTGAACCAAATCGAAGAAAGTTGAACCAAGGCAAAACTAGAATTTAGAAAATGTCCAGGACATGAAGAACAGTAGCTACTGAATGCGGAGAACATGAATCATCCAACCGAAACTTGGGGTTAGTAGACAGAGTCCACTGGTGGAAAATCCGCGAGTTCCCTCAAGTCCCTCCAAATTGAAACCAAACCTCATGTCAATCTTCAGACTGATTGTTGTAGGCAGTCATTGAGTACTGCGCTGAGGTCCCCACTGAGGATGGGCCGCCTCATTGCTAAATCTATGCACTGTAAACTTCTGAGAACAAAAGGAGAGGATGCTGGCCGTTCAGGTCTCATGATCTCCAGAAGCTTGTGGCATGCGTGAGACGAGCTCAAAAGGTAACCCGAAGTTGAGCTTCACCAACGGAGGTTGGGGCTCATGCTGTCATGACGCCATGCCGTCGCTGAAGCCAAAACTCGGCGACACGAATTCGCGCATTCAAACTCAGGAGCTCAGCATGACGACCTGCTCGGGGTGGTGCATGGCGGTTCTTAAATCTTCAAAGAAGCCAAACCCAGCAAAAGTCGTAGGAATGTTACTTCAAGGCAGTGTCACATCATTGGTCCCTGGCGTGAGATTCTTTGATTACTGCCCGTGCTTGGCACGCCAACTGCTCAGCAGGGACCTGGACTTGGGTAATTTGTTGATCAACGTCTTCCAATTCGATAAAACACGAAGCAATGTTGCAAACAACACATGACAAGCTGAAGGGATAGGACAAGGTCCGATCCCTTTCCGTTTTTTGGCCAGGCGATCACAACAATTGGCCTGTACATTGCGACGTGGCTTGCCCACATCTGCGGCACGAAAGGCTCACGCAGAACCTTTGGGCAAGGCCCAAAGGCGATGGCCGACTCCCCGAATCTACCCCAGCTTTTGGCCCCCAACCAACTTGTGCTTCTTGATTCGGGTCAATACTTGGCGTGCCGTTGGTTTCAAAAGGGACCATTGGCCCTCCAGGAGATTGATCGATTGATTTCATGCCCATTTCACATCACCCTCGGGACGTGCGGGGAATCTGCCATACGCGGCGAATCAAAAGACGTCCGCCGCCAACCTAAACTCCAACGGGATCAGATGCTCAAAACTCCTTATCGGGTCAGTGTGATGGTCCTGAATCGCCAGCAGCATGTAAGGTCATTTGCCACCCTTCCACTTGCGCCTTTTAGCCTGAATGGCCAAAATGGTCTTTTCATTTTGTCTCAAGCCAGGGAATGAAATCTTCCATTTGGTTAAGACCCCTGGAAAAGATAGATATATGTCCAGTAGCGATAGATTCCCTTTAAAACCAACAGGGGAAACATATTCTTAAGCAAATGGAAGTCATGGATTTGAGCCGTGGAGGGCATGCGGCTTGCTCTACTCAACGAGCCGCGTGAGCGGCTTCCCGCTCTACATGAGGCTGCAGGACGGCTCGCTGAAGTCCCCGAGTCGCACGTTCGAACACTGGCCTCGGCTTTTTGGTGAACGGCCTTTTGCAAAGGTATGTATATTGTAACATGCGCTTGTATTGTGAAGAGGAGGGCATTTTACAAAATATATCTATTGTAAAGGCATCTGTATCCTAGAAGTCCTTGTCAACAAGCCGTTGCTATGCGTGGACCAAACATGGGTTTTGCCCAGGTCTGGTCTTTTGTCGGATCTGTCTGCGCTCCCCTGATTGACATGGAACCCCACCCGGTCATTGATCATGAGCCTTTGGGAGGGGAGTCGATTGAGCTCCTTTTTTTTGGGGGGGAAAAGAGGCCCAGATGACAAGAATGCCCGTGGGGCGGTCATTTTGCAAGATCCTGGACCAAACAAAACAAGCCAATATGATATGTAACTCACAAGACCACGGATTGTTTGTCAACCTGCTATGTCCTAAACCATCCTCAAACAGGCCCGTAGGTTATTTCTGTTGCGCATGCCAAACCTGGTTGAGTTGCCAAGAAAACAAACTCGAGCCAATGGGACTGACTCAACCTGAGACCCCACGGTGGGAGGCCCGCTGCCTGGCCAATGCCCTCACTTGCACCCAAATGATCAATGAAAGGCGACCGCCTTTGGATCCTGGCGCTGGGTTGAGGTCTCAGCGCCTCCACCCAAAAAAAAATCAACAAACAAAAACAAAAAAGAAAACGGTGGGCACCAAAACGAGGAAACCGGTAGAACCATGTTTTCAGCGGCGTCTGCTTTTCTGGGTCACTGAGACAGGGGCTCCAAGCTGTGACACGGGCGATCCGACTTTGGGTGCCCAGCCCTCGTCGTCCATGAGCGCCACGCGGAGGCGCAGGTGCGGGACGCTCCTGGGCTGCGGGTAGACGGAGCTTTGCTTGGGAGTAGGTGCAATTCTCGCAGGCAGAAGGTCAGTGGAACCCAAGAAGGGCGTTGGCAGGCTTTGGACCAAGGAGTTTCCTCTAAGCATGAAGGTGTTCGGAGTTCATTGATCTGAGGTGCAATCCTCAAGTTCTTCAAGGTGGTTTTTCCCATGGCTGACCCATTCCGTCCAAACTGTGGGGCATAGATGTTACGCGCAGGCTCCAGCGTTCCTTACTAAAAAAACACTGCGAAGCAACACTCACCAACGCAAAAACCAGCTATCTTGCTACTATACCAGGGCTCGGTTGCTTTGTGCATGTGTTTTTTTCGAGTCACCCGGTTTCCCAACAGAAAACGGGGAGGATAGCCCCTTTTTTTGGTGGCCTTCAAAGGTCACAGGCCAGGCTGGCGTGCTCCTGAGACCTATCCGCCAGGGCACGCCACTAGTGTTAGTGGATGCACACCCGTAGCCAGCCTCTCACGAACATAGCATTTGTCTAAGGGTAGCTTCCATTTTCCATTCTTTCCATTGATCCGGATCTTTCTAGAAAACCACCAAAAGGTCTGGTTGAAAACAGCGATCGGTTCTTGAAAAGAACGATGGTTGAAAAGAATGGAAAAGGAATCAACCCCTAGAATTTGTGCGAGGGTACTGGACCTGGAAGATCGTTTTCCTCTTGCAGAGGCCTAGCGGGAGGAAGGGTACATATTCACTATCGCAGGGCAACACAAAACCCGTCCCTCCAAGGCTGGCGCCCTTTGAATCAACAGGTCAGGTATTTCTGAATCACACATCCTCAAGGCTCCCAGACACGGCCCGCTTTATTGATGCCCTTTCCCCCCGTTGTGGTGGCCTTGTTTTTTGAAGCCATCCTCAATGTCCCGATCTGTGTTCCCAGCCAACCCTTAACCCTAAGCTCCTCACAACGCCATTCTTCTCCCACAAACCATTCACCGTCAAAGTATCAACCCAAAAAAAAAAACACAACTCAACAAACCATCCTGCGCACAGGAATCTCTTTTTGGCAAAAAAAACACACCCTCTTTGGGCATGTTCCCTTCGTCTCTGCGGTAGTGCCATTCTCCAAATGTTACAATCCAACCGGGATTCGGTTTGCAGCCCCTTGCTCTTTTTGGACTCCCTTCAAAGGGGCTTTGCTGTTCCACAATAAGATTCCCGTTGAAGGTTCCTTTGAAGCATCACCCAGTGCAAACTTGCCAAAACGACCCTACGATGATGCTTAACACCACCAAAAACTTGACAAACCGACCCTACAATGATACTTAACACCACCAAAACCGGGGGAAACAGCGTGGGGGCCCCAAAAAACACACACACACACACACACACATCTTGGGTGTCCCTTTTTGGTTTCCCTCTTAAACCACTCCAATTTTGGGCTTCCCTCAAACGACTCCAGAAAGGGTACCCTCCAAAAAAAACGTCAAAAGATACAAACACTCTAAGGGTTGATTACCTTTTGTTTCCCACCATCGTTCTTTTCGAAAGCCGGCCGTTGCCCAGGGTTTCCGGAGGTTTTCTAGAAAGAAGGATCCCTGGAAAGAATGGAATTGGAAGGTAGCACTAGAGACAGCTCGGTCGCCACGTCCGAATTCCGAGGCGCAGCTGGGCCAAGGTTTTCACCACCTCTTGCGGCAGGCGCTTGGCCCGCAGCACCCGGTCCTTCAGTTTTTCGCTTTTGCGACCGAAAGCCCTTTTTCTAAGATCCCTTCTTCCGAAAACGACCTCGGGGCTTCATATTGCTCGGGGGAAGAACAAGATTGCTGACTTCCATCAAAGCATTTCTCTCATTTGGGTGCTGAAAATAGGGGGACCCCCGAAAGTCTAGGGGTAGCTTCCAGTCCATTCTTTCCAGGGATCCGGATCTTCCTAGAAAACCACCAAAACGTCTGGTTGAACACAGCGATCGGTTCTTGAAAAGAACGATGGTTGAAAAGAATGGAAAAGGAATCAACCCCTAGACTTCTGGGTTGAACCAGCGGCTTGACAGTTGAGGAGGAGGACAGTTGTTGAGGGAGGGTTGACAGTTGAGCGACTTCTGGTTAAACCAAAGTTGTTGAGGAAAACAGAGCATGCGGTGCAATGAGAAATGGAATGACCTGCCAACAAACAATCGGGTTCTGTGGTTGACGTGGGAAAGTGGCTGGAGGGGAAAACCAAAAGGAGATCTTTGAAACAAGAGTGGTCAAAATTGAAAAAGGTGTCTAAATTGAAAAAGGTGAAAGGTGGGTCAAAAGGATATACTTGAAACAATGGTGGAAGGGAAGGAAGGAGGAAAACCACAACTTGCTGGTGCGATAGGCAGGGATTGATTTTAAAAATCCTCTATGGTTTCCTGGGGATCCCCAAACGATTCATTCCCTAACACCGGAAGGTCATTTTTTCCAGAGAGAACCAAAAAGAGAAAGGAGACCTTGGAAACAATGGTCAAAGCAATGGTTCGAAAGAAAATTGCTCAAAGAGTGGCTCAAACATGGTTGAACCAAAGGAAATTGTTTAAACAATAGTGGTGGAGTTGGTACCACCTCACAAGCTTGTAAGAGCTTCCAAAGTGAAAGGAATGCAAAAAATCCCGCTATACTTTCCCTTTGGCATAGCAATCCAACAAACAAACCATTGAGTGCCATCCTGAATGACTCACGTCCTGAGTCGATTGGCCAGAGAAAGTTTGATTTGTTTTGGTTCGCCACTAATAATATGTTCTTCCCAGAATAGTTGTTAAAGTCCATGAACCCAGGGAATAAAGTCAGTTTTGGTCTCTAAGTAAAAGATTTGGAGGCTTTCCCGCCGCAAGGTCAAACGTTGTAACCCTGAAAATGCAACCACTTTCAGGAACCCAACACGAACACCGCGGGCAAAAACCAAAACCGTCGAACAGGTGCCCATGAAAGAAAAGGCTTGCCGAGCAGCTAAATGCGCGCGCCACTGCTCACAGCTGGCTGCTTGTCTCTTCTTGATGTCAGTGCCCACCTTGGCGCTCGCAGCGGGTACCGCCATTTTTGAGCTCCTATTTTGACACACACACACGCACACAAACACACGCACACACACACACACACAAGGACACACACACACACACCCACGCGCGCGCGCAAATAACCTCAGGAGAGGTCTGAGAAACCCAGCAACACAGCCCAAGCATGCAAGGAAGAGGCGCGATCTTATTGCGCGCAGTAGAGCGTGAGAAGCAGGCATCGTGGCGGGGCTGTATTGGCGCGTTTGCGCGATGACGGGCGGCGCAGTTTGTGACCCGCTTCCTCGCCCCGACGGAAGGGTGACCTGGAAAGAACTTGTCAAACGTAAGACTTGGGGTTTGCGTTGCTTCTTCGGGAGAGGAACCCTTGTGGCCCGCCCCCCAGTAGCCGCGAGCAAACAGTATCTGAACATGCTCACCCAAAAGGGCTACCAGGACATTCGCTCAGCGCATAAGCTGGTGTGAGTCGATTTGCCAACGGCCGCAAGGAGGTCAATATCCACCAACGTTTTGAGATTGCCTACCTGTTGAGCTCTGAGAGCGGACCTAGTTATTTTGCTCCCTTTTGATGTGTTCACGCAGCATGTTGCAAAATGTGTCTGACTTTGGGAAACACAAAACAGACGGAAAACGGCGGGAAACGGACGGAAAGATAGAAAACGGACGGCAAACACTGGATTCCAATAATGCCTGGTGTCTATGGGTCGTGTGGTCGTTGGAACCTAGTTTTTGCAAAGCTATGATTCACGCGCTGTGTTCATTGTCGAGATTTCTTGTCTGCCCTTGCGTTTGTCGTGTGCGGAATCTTGGAGAACACGTCATGGGCAAAGCTCCTTAGCTGAAAGTCCCCGGAACTATTTCCTGCATCCCTTCAAAGCTGCAGACTCAAATACGCAAAGCTACGTGCCTCCGTCAAGAGTATTTTGGGAAGGATGTGTTGAAGTCTTCTGAAGTTGTGAAATACGAGCATTGAGCGTGGCCTACAGAGACTATTAGGACCAGTGTCTGTCGCCTTCATTTCGTGTAGGCTGACAAAGCCTCAGCAGCTCTTTGATGGATGTTCTTGCGCACTTGTCATATTTAGCTGCGAAGCAAATGAGGAGGCTGTTGGCAAAGCTGCAAGGCTTCCCCGCAAACGGTTTTGAAACGTAAGGGCCCTGGTGCATGCGTAAGCTTTTATGTGGAGGCAGTTTCAATTATGTCAGATCTCAATGTTTCGGCCAAAGCATGTGGAAGCGGGGCGACGCAAAAGGGTGGTCGGGATTGTTTCAATGGGAAACCAAAGGGGAACCCCTCCAGTTTGAGGCAAACCCTCCAGCCCATTTTTGTCCTAGCCAGGCCGGAATTGTTTGAGGGTGCCTAGATCCGGGTACTCGTTAAATGGATTCTATCAACAGGATTCGCTTGGAGGGCTGATCATCTTTGAGGAACGGCCAAGCAAATGATGTGTTACAACATGGGGAGGACTCCAAAAATGGCTTCCTTCAAACCTGCAAACAAAAATGGCATCCTTAACAAAAATACACGCACAGCTTTAATCAAACCTGAAAAGAATGGTGCCCTCAAAAAAATAAAAGCCCAAAGCCCCAAAGCCGCACCGCACACCCCGGCAGTGGCGTCCAGGGCACCAGTTCTTGCCACTCCTCGCTGTCGTCCAGCCACAGCGCATCGCAGTCCGTGGCTAAGGGCGAAGTCGTGGACAGCCGCTCCTTGTCGTCCAGCCACCCCCGCAATGGAACTCTGGAAAATGAACAAGTAGTCTCAAAGCTGCGGTCCCCTGGCTCCAAAAATTTGAGCCACACCGGTAATTCGCAAACCGAATGCTACAATGTGGCCACAATGGTAGATCATGGCCCCGATTTGTGCTGTAACGCGGCTATCGTACTTGTAACCTTCATGGGTGAGCTCGTTTTCCAGTCTGGCCAGGTCTGAGAGAAAAACAGGCCCCATTCCACCAAGGGGACTGCCTACCCTGCCTTGGCACCCCACCCAACATTAGATCGCGATGCAATTTGGCGAGAATGGATTGTTTACCCGATTTGGGCTCCAGGATGCTATTGCCCCCTTTTTTAGACCAGTTTGGCTAAAGACAAGAAAGAAAGACCCAACCCAACAGGAATCGTAGTGAGTAAACCCAAGTTGGAGCCTTCCCCCCCAACCAAACCATTTGCTTGAAGACGACTCCAGCCCCTTCGGCTGTTTACTTCCAAGGCACGGACATCGGAATGGGGGCCCCGGCCAATGGATTAATGACTTGGAACCCCAACCCGTAAAAACCCGTTTGACAAAAACCGGAACCTCAAAAAGGCATATGGGTGTGGCTGAAACTTAAACAGGAGGGGCAAACCGCAGGTTTTGGTCCATGTTTCCACTTACCAGGGTTCCATTTTGGTACCGGCTTTTTGAGCCACATCCATATGACAAACCTTCAAGCTGCCTCTTGAAAAGACATGCAATGTAAAAGGGAACGCCGACAGAAACAAACCTGCGGGAAAAAGGTTGCTTGGTTGACTTGACAAACTGACGCGACATAGGTCTTGCAAGTTGATTCTAGTTTGCCTATTGATGGACTGCAAAATACCCAGAAACAAATGTTGCTAAAATCAAACCGGACAGGGAAACCATGGCATAAATGTGCAAAATAAATATGCACAGCAATCGGCGCAAGTGTTTGTTTAAAGAAATTATCAAGACACGATACTGCGCATGAACAACATCCTGCAATGGGTGCAACCCCATGAAAACTGGCACAATCCACCGGCCAACTGGTGAAAGAACTTGACCATTCACAGTATGAGACATGGTGGCTCAAGTGTGCTGTTGGTGTCCATAAAAGTTTGCTTTGTGATCAAGCATCATATTATGCAAGAAACCAGCCACAGGAGTCTTTTCAGGAAAACCATGCTTGTTGGCTGATATTTGGCCAGTTTCCTGTCGAAATTCAACTTTAGCTGCTTTCTATGAACTCAGAATACCATCCCCACAATCATGGAAGCTGGCGATCTGAGGGGGGTGGGAAGACTACTTTCTTTTTGGGGAAGCCCCTTGTCCACTTCCATGATCGTTGCAAGGGTAATTCCCCAAACTGAAAGAAGGGACCCCCCCGACACACCTCTGCCAAAGCTCCGCCCAGTCGGGTACCGGGCCCAGCAGGCGGCTGTAGAGACCCCAGTTGGGGTTCCGCCCTCGCGCCAACGTGCCGGGACTGTTCGTGCGCCCCAAAGCGTGGGTCATGTTGTCATGTGGCTGGCTTGACCTTTAAGAGGTCACGTGGTCACATGGCTCCCTACCTCGACTAGGGTAGGTATTCTCATGGCATGGCCTTCCGTGTCTAAAACCACCCCGCGGATGACCTACCCCAAGCCAGCGCAGCGAGGGCTTTGCTGGGCCATGGCACAAAACCACAAAACTCCCCGGTGAGAGCAATGCCGAACGAATCGTTCGGCTCGTCGGCTGGAATGCAATTGGGGGTGAAGTTTAATTGGGGATCCTTAGGCCTCTTGGACATCATTTAGCTGGGGATTTATGTCCACCGAACCCTTTGGGCCCCCTAGTAAACATCATGGCCAGCTCGCACTGCCGTGGCAACCGTTGCTCGGCCATCCTGGATCAGAAGTGGGCCAATAGGAGAAAAGCCAGGTGCAGGTTTGATGCCGGAGGCGAGCAGCTGAGTGCTACCAGCCGAGTACATGAGGGAACGTAGCATTCGCACATGAACAAGTTGTCCAAACAACACACTCCCTTGGTGGCCGGTCGCATACCGTATTGCACAGTCCGCTGTCTCAAGTGTGAGTGGAGCCATTAATGGCATGGAGTGGAAAGGCAACACTTTGGCAATGTGTACAGGCTCAACCGATCAGGCAGACAGAGACTTTGCTGTGCCCCAAGCTGCTGTTGCAAGATATCATGTACAGAAGTGGACGAGTGCATCAGCTTGATTTGGCATCATACACTTTCTTCTGCGCCAGATGGCTGTCTCAGTGCATGCTGCGCCTAGGTTTAAGGCAGGCAGCACGGCCTCCTGTGGCATATAAACGACCCGTGTTGCCGGGTGAGAGGGGCAGCTGAGCAGAGCAACGACTCACGAGGGGAAGATCTTACGTCTCCGAGTTGAGCCGTGATTCAGATTCAGCACAGCATTGCCGGTAGAAGCACGTCTTTTTGCGTGTGCCATGGATGTCTGTGTAAGAGTGCCTCGGTTTAGCTGCACTCATGCGCCGTTGCCGCTTGTGTTGTCATGTGCTTGCACAAGTCCTGTAATGTATATAGGTGGCACCATTGGCAACCAATTCTGTTCACGTAGATAGCCATGCACTGGGCGGACTTTATAGTATAAACTTCCCATTTTGGCTCAGTTCGGTCTGGTTGCCCCGCATTGACCCCCATTTGTCTTTGTCATGCACGTGCCTGCACTCCCATCCCGCACCAGTTGGGCAGTTTCCCTACAGCACCGAGCCTTTCTGCTAGTACACGCGCAGCTCTTGCCAGCGCCAATGCCAACTGCAACACCAGATGTTCCACGCATTTGCCCTCTCCACCATAAGGCGTCACGTTTGCAGGAAGAAAACATTTTCAGTAAAGCATTGCTTGCACTTCATGCCGTGCTCATCGTCCAAAGTGTTCAAATGTGTATCTTCTCAAAAGGAGCGACACATTGCACCAGTTGAAAACAAAACTCTTCACATGCCGTGAACACCCGTAAAATACCCCTGAGACCGCGATGTTTGTTCCGAGAAAGACAAAGGTCCCTCAGGCCTTTGTCCGAATCGCAATATCAGAATTCCCTTAGCTCACTTGAGTGGCTTGGCCCAAAACAACCGCATGCCAAGCTTGTTTGCCGCTAAAGTCCAGGACCACGGGGAGTTCGACAAATGAGCGGTCCGATCTGTGGCTTCCACTCGTCAGACGTGTCCGACTTGCAACAAGTCAACGGTTTGCTACTCAGAAAAGATGAGCAAAACCAAGGGCAAAGGAAAGAAACGGCCGTCGGCGAATCAAGTCTGGCAATGAACACTCTTACAAGGAACTTCTACAAGTTCGTCTAACTCCCAAAACCAAAGGGCTGGCACTTGCAGTATTCTCTGGAGATGGCTGCTTTGTTATTTGTTGTTATTTGTTTCGCCCCCCGCCCCCCCTCAAAAAAAGAAGAAGAAGAAAAAGACAAGAAAATGGCACAAGGGTGTTCCCTTTGGTATCCTTTTAAAGCCATGAAACCAGGCGTACCCTCAAAAAAAAGAACACACAGGGTTCCGGGTACCCTGAACACACAGGGTTCCACTTTTTGACTACCCCAAGATACACTAAAACCCAGGGGTTTCTCTTTGGCGGGAATGAGCCACCCCTGGGTTTAGGTCCACCCAAATAGTCACAAAGTGGCCGTGGGTCAAAAGACTGGGTGGTGAATTCACCTATCTTTTGACCCAAAGCCAAATCAGAGACCCCCCCAAATCAGGGACACCTAGAGTCTATTTTGCAACCATGAACCCCAAAAAAATCAATACCCAAAAAGAACAACTTTCAACATGGGATCCCATGGGTTTTGACCCAAAGCCAAGTAGAACCCTCAAGAACCCACCCCCTTCCCGCCTTGGCCAGCACCCCGTTGCACCGCCTCCTGCTGGTCCTCGATGCCGCGAAGCCCGTTCACATACCTCGCAGGTGAAGCAAAAACCAACCAGCACCAAGACCTGCGCACCAAAACTAGTTGCCTAGACTGTGTTTTGTTTTTCATCAGTTGGCTTTTTTCCTACTTGTCTTAGCTTAACTTTAAATGTCAAAAAAAAATGAAAGGTATGTAGCTGACCAAAGCGTGTTTTGTTGAGGCGCGAAAAGATATATCTGAGAGTGGGAAACTAAAGAGGGAAGACCGCTGCTTGATTGTGTTCGGGCTTCTGGGGGGGGGATCCTTTATCATCGGGTTGCTCCAAAGGCCCCGTCCCAAGGCTAGAAAGTTGGCCAACTTGTGCTGGTCTCACGTTTTAAGTTGTCCAACAAAGTTTATTGACAAGAACTTTGTTGACAATCAAAACGGCAACGTTTCCCTTCTTGTTCGGGACCCGTCCCCTTTTGCCTGGTTTTAACGGGAAACCCGAAGGCAAAGCCGTTGCGCAGCTCCCTTTTCTCGGGGGCCCGACTTCCGATTCGAGAACCCAAGGGTCGCAACAGGGCGAATCGCGAATCCGACCCCAAAGCCTGGGGTCAAATTGAGTTCGGGACCCTGGAAGCTGCGTGTAGCGAAACCTTGTCGCCGCCCCTCTGAATGCGACCACAATAGGACCCTCTGCGTTGCCAATGATGTTGACAGAATCAGCCGAATATGGATGCCGACACCCTCCGAAATGGAAAGCACCCTCTGCAGTATCAATCAGCCCAAGTGTTCAAGTCTCGACAAAGTTCCAACTACACCCTGCATGCGCACATCCGCGAAAGTTTCTGGCAGGCGAGCAACTCTTTGAATTGCTCCAGAGAGTACAGCAAGCAATGGGAGTCACTCACGTACTCGGTGAGCATGTGCCCGCTGTCCAAATGCATCAGCTTCTCTTCAGTCTGTTCCTCTCCGCAGGCTGCAAAACTATGGGGCACCCAAACCCTCATTTGCGTTGGCGGATTCGTGCGAGTCCCGAGGGAGACCATGGACAAAAAAGGCGGTTTGGCCCAAAGTGACATGCTCGTCCCATGCGAGGAAAATCCCATGTTGAAACAGCGTGCTTCTCCTGCACAAAAGCCTGGCACATGGTGTCTCAAAGTTGTGGTCCATCTCCTAACATGGCAACGGTTTCCTTGTGGCTTCCCTTATTCAAAACAAAGGAAGGCTTGTCCAACTCCACTTGAGCAACACTCATGTGGCGTCATAAACCTGGCCAACCACTGGTTTGTAACCCTTTCCAATCAACCATGGGTACGCACATGGCCGGCTTGTCCAAGTCCCATTCTGAGATTCACTCAGACATGTTTCCCTTTATGTACCAAATAAAAGGGGACGAAATCCCATGAAACACCCCATGGAGTCAACCCGTGAGTTGCTCCTTCTCCTTCGCCAGCTGCTCTTTCTCCTTAGACGTAGTAGAACTCCTCATGCTCTCCACCAAGTCCTGAACGCCGGTCGCGCGTGCGGTAGTTGAATACGAGAGAATTGGATGTCTCTACCCCAAAATGGGATTCGTCTTCTTGGTGTCGTTAAAGTCGTTAAAGAAAAAAGACAACTCGAGAAGGGAATCCGGCATTTTGAGAAACCCCCGAATGCCAGCAGCAAATTGGAGCCATCACGATTCGAGGAATCTCCTTGTGGGCCCGGACAGCCCATTTTGATTTGGAGGGCAGCAATCGGCTGGTTGCTTAGGGCTTGTGAGAGAAGCCTAGGGAGGGAAACAAATCAACATCCTAAAATGGTCCTCGTAGTTGGTACGGCTCTCACAAAAGAGCCCGATGTTAACGGTCCTTGAGAGACCCGGCAAATGAGGACCTGCCTTGGAAAGGTCATGGTCAACGTTCGAACCCAAACATAGGATATGTCTCATCAAGTCACATCGGTGTAAAGGGCGAAGCGCAACCAAACGAGTCACACTCAAACACCTGGTATTCAAATTGGGTATGGCTCAAAATAAGAGCCAGAAGTACGCAGGTTTAAGTCTGTTTCATTTACCCAGGCCATTTTCAGGGAGTTTGGACAGCCTGGTTATGAGGTGTCCTTTTTGACAGTGCCATCGATTTTCCCAGGGCACCTAGGGCACCTACTGTGGATGGACGAAATCTTTCACCACCTAAGAAACCCTGGTATCTGATGATCACCCGGTAAATACAAGCAATGGCTTCCCATGGTCTGAAAGCGGTACATGATTTTGTGCATCCACAAGTATGGTTTAAGTCTTTTTTCATTTACCAAGGCCATATTCAGGGGATCAGCTTGGACAGCCTGGTTGTGAGGCGTCCTTTTTGGGGCCCGAGTCAGCTTGGTCCAAACATGGAGCTCTTCACCCTGGGGAGAAAAAACTCTTGTGGGATACATGCCAACTCTAAGTGGGCCATTTTCGGTCGCCAGAACTGGCGAGGGATCTGCACCCAACCTTGCGCCCTCTGCCGTCCGTCTGCCGTCTGCCCTCTGCGGCTCCTTCAGCTCGGCCTCCAGGCGGGCCGCCATCTCTTGCCGCGCCTCCGCGCCCCCTGCAGGAATTCGCAGCCCAAAGGGCACCAACCGCAAGTGGACGGCCCCCCAAAAAAATGAAAGCCCACAGGTCTTGGCAAAGCCACTCCCAAAAAGTCCAAGCCCAAAAAGTGACCTTTAGTCATTGTCAACATGAACTCGGGAAGTGAGGCTTTATACCTTTTTTTTGCTGGAAACGTCCAACGAGTGGCTAGTTCAAAGGTTTGAGGCGGTTGGTGTTGCTATTTTCTCAGAGGATTCTGAATTTTGATGTGGGGGGTTGATCTAATATTCCTGTTAAAGGCCCCCAGTTTTGACCATGGGTAACTTTTCCCGGGTGAAGTATCATCTTAGCGGTTTTCGCACCAATGGCCATCCCATGTTCATGGGACCCTTTGATCAACCCAAACATGGAATAGGGAACCACACCCAAAGTGGTTGGTGAACATGACTCCCCACCGAATTATGATGTCCAAAATGGCCCCTCATGATGATTCATACCCACATACGTGGTTATCTTTCCTTCCACGTTCCTCAGCGGGAAGGTACCTGTCTGCCATGTTAGCCATGGCCTGGGCTTTTCAAGCTGAAGAAAACGAGCTGGCGGTTTAGAGTAGGGAACTCGTTGGCGTTTTTCTTCCATAGAACTTCGGAAGCAATGTTGTCCTGGGAAAAGGAACATCACAATCTCATGGGTCCCCAAATGTTGACCCCTTCCCATATATACTTCTACGCATATATATATATATATATACATATAAGTATATATCTATAGTACCAAGAAACACTTGTGAAAATAATGCATGTGTAGAGATGTATGCATTACGCATGTACATAAACATATGTGTACAAAAATCTATGTGTCTCTCTTTCTGCCGCTTCTCTGGGCCTAGAAGCTGCACCGGCTCCCCGCAAGCCACTCGCCCGCAGTCGGGAGCGGCGCGGCCCAGGCGGCGCATGGCCTCGCAGAGGGGGAAGCCCCCGCAGCGGGTCCTCGGCGACTCGGCGGTGACGTGGAGACTTTTGGGGGAGGCGATCCATCTTCTTATCAGCCTTCGGTTTCGGGACACACGCTGGCTGAATATGGCTGTCAAGCCGGGGCCCAGAGAAATGATGTTGGCCCCCATTCAGGATGCAGAGGTAGTTCGGAAAAGAAATCCAAGTAAGAAACAGGCAGCCCCCCCGTGCGAAGTCACAATATCCGAGCTGGATTTGCTTATGGCCCTCCTTTTGGCAGAAAGGCCCTCCAAAGAGGCAGAAACCCTCTTTGAAGGTCCTCGATTTGACTCCACCAAGACGGGGCCGAAAGAAATAGGTGTCTTCTTTGGAGGCGACCCCCTGCAACATGGCTTCGGTTTTACGTGATTTTCCTTTTGGCGTCTCTTTCGCCCAACCCACAACCAGATCTTCTCCACACCACCCCAAAACCCCGTGTCGCACGCACGCCCCCGATTCCCCGATGCTCAGGAGATGCAACGAATATCATGGATCGATCGAAGTCCGGGGCGCTTGGTCTGCAGGAAGAGGCTCGTGCGCCACTTCTTCTGAGAGTACACCTGCACCGATGCACCGATGCACCGCCCGCGGTCAACCGACTTCGACTTCGCCGAAGTCGACCTCCGACATGTCCCGAAAATGTGAAAGGGGGGGCCGGCGTCAGAGGTGGTTGGTAACCATAGTATGACCAAGTTCCAGGTCCGTTCGGAGACTTGGAACCATAGCAAGAGTATATGTTTGAGTTGTATAAGGGGAAGCTAACTACTTGCCCAGCCTGCCCCTCAAAGTGGTTTCGCAAAACGGGCTCGCCCGCTTTCAGGGATCTCCCGATAGGCAGCACGAAATGTCTCAACGGGGGCCCGCCGGGCTTCTAAGTCTGACCCTCCGCAGTTCCAAGGCCAAAAAGGGGGTTTCCACACGCATATTCACTTTCAATATGGCCGTGTCTTCAAATGGGGGAACCCCGAAATGGGTGGTGCTCTTTTGGTTTGCCTCAAAAAGGGAACTCAAAAAAGGACCCCCATATCCCCCATATCATATCATATCTTTAACAGGTTTGTCCGTCGGCTTTTCTGAAATCCCACCGGATGCTTCGATCCCAAGCTCCGCTCTGCGCAACTTTCTCGGACACCAAGGCTGGGCTGTCCTCAGATCCCCCGCTAAAGGTTTAACTTTTAGTGGGCGAAATGGAGATCCAACCTATAAACACTGAAAGGCTAAAAAGCTACGGAACCGGATGGCTGGGAACCAAGAAGGATATCTTTCATTCCAGTTGCGACCAGTGACACCAACCGGACCAAAAGGTCACTGGGTATCACTGAATAAGTAACTGGCGTCCAGCGAATTGAACGAATTGAAGCCTGGTCAGGCAAATGAAGAGTTCCCAAAATATTTCCCTGGGCTAAAAAGCGTCACCTACAAGATTGAATCTGTGTTTGGAATCTCACATGGCCATGGCTAACTCAACCCTTCGAACCCACCCCTGCAAGAGAAGCCTATAAGGCTAAAGCCCCCTACTGAGCCTTGATAAGGTTCTTGAACGGGGCGGCTCCAAGGACAACGGGCTGGATGCCAATTTGGATCACATCCTTGGGGAGAACCGGGCCACAGACGAAACCGGTATCTCCAGACCTCCTGGCAAAAAGACAATTTCCCAAATGGCTATGGGTCAAAACCCCGGTACTCCGGTGAACACCCAGAAGGCCTTCCAAAAAGACAACAGTGGAGTGGTAACCATCCCCATTTTTGGCACCTTGGGTTTTGGCCCACAACCAAATGTCACCTCCTCCGCACGTTTTCGTCGGCCACCGAGGTCCCTTCCTGGATGAGCAGGTCGAAGTCGCAGCCCATGACGCGGCGACGGAAACCGCCTCTGAGGTCTCAGAGGCCGCCAAAAGAAACTCCGAGAAGGGATACTCGGCTCATGCTCATTTGCCTTGGCGACGTCTTCCAACGCAAGAAATGTCTGCAACCCCTGGGTGTCGTGTCTGCTCCTTCATGCTGGGCCATGGTTGCATCTGTAGATGGATGACCTGGCAGGCGCTTGAACGAGTGAACGCGTGGCAAACATGAAAAGCCGCTCGCTGCGGCTATCTGGGGGTCGCACCTGCAAGTTGCTGATTTCCACTTTCCAACAGCGACTGAAACCATCAAAACTGGGCAACACGGATCAACAATTCCAACAATATTGGCCAAGCACACGGGTGTGTGTGAGCTTCTTCTAATAAACTTCTGGCTTGCTTGCTTGGCTGCAGAAATGAAAGATTGCTACAAGGGTAATCACGAACCAGTGACTTGCCACAGCTACTCCCCTTTGCTTTGGCCAGCTAACATGCAACGACATGTTGCAGTCTCTGGCATGACCAATAGTTGCTCGGTTGCAATAGACTTGTCTACTTGTAGTTAGAGGATAGCCTTGTCGCAGTTGTGAAAGAAACTAAAGGGAAACTGAGACAAGCCGCAAATGCACAATGGCAGTACCACCCGCAATAATAGCTACAAATACTACGAACACAACATCAGAAATGATGGGACAGCTGACAGGAAAGAAACATCATCGACGCCAGCTTTTGCAAAACAAAACACAACAAAAGAAAACACACGAGCAAAACAACATAACACAGCACAGCACAATCATTATCACACTCTCACACACACACACACACTCACGCTCAACCCAAGAAAAGCACTCACACAGGCGAGAAGCAAAAGACTGCAACCTATTTAACCGGCAAAACAGCAAGCGAGCGAGCAAGCAAGGACGAAACCTCAAGCAAGGAAGCAAGGAAGCAGGCAAGGAAAGGCAAGGCAATGCAAAACACAACCAAATCACGCAACATGTAACATAAAGAAGATCACGACCACCAGAACACACCAACAAACAAACACGAACGAACAAACGACCGAACAGACAGACAGACAGGCAGGCAGGCAGACAGACAGACAGACAGACAGGCAGGCAGGCAGGCAGGCAGGCAGCCAGGCAGGCAGGCAGCTAGGGAGGCAGGCAGGCAGACAGACAGACATACAGGTTGACAAGAAAGCAAGCAAGCAAGCAAGCAAGCAAACAAACAAACAAACAAACAAACCAGGCCACAAGGCAGCCAACAAATCAGCGTGTTCCATCAGCTGTGCAGGTGGCATCGCCCCGGTCTTTCTGTGCCAAGCACGCCATTGCAGATTGATTGACTTGGGAACGCGTGGCATCCATGCGCACAGCGATGCCGCTGGAAAATCGTGACACAGGGCTGTGTCAGTGAGTCAAAACCCGGCGGAGGCGGACTACTCCATTGACATGCGCTATGATAATAAACAAATCCGCAAACGTTTGCCGAAATGAGCTGCATGCCTGGTTTCTGTGTTTCAAACAAGTGAGTTCTGCCATATCCCAAATCTTAAATGACATATGAATTACAGTTTGAATCTTAAAAGAGAACCTTTTCTTTTTTTGGGGGGTCGTGTCAAATGGAGAGCAACAGGAACCCATATTGAGGAGTGCCTGGCTTTGACACTTTCCCGGATTCTTCAGCACTTCAGTGGCCGAATCATCAGGGAGCACCTCGTGCGAGTCGGAGACCATTCGCCTGGCCATGAAAAAAACAAAAACATTGCTGCCCCCCCCCAAATGGTTGCCCCCCCATAAACGCAAACATGGTTGCTCCCCAATGGTTGCCCCCCATAAACGCAAAACTGGTTGCCACCCAGCTGGTTGCCAGCCAAATGGTTGACACAAGCACCATTTGAATGCCCCCATGGCTGGCCCAATGGAAGCGGCTCTCAGTGTCAACTCCCCCGGCGAGGCTTTGGGATCGGGGGATCGGTGGGGCTTGGAGGTTCTGGGGATGCTGTGCGGCATTTCCCTCCGCAAGAATGGGACAAACCTCACAGGGACAATCTCAATGACCAATCTACACGACTACGTGGGACACAGCATTTCCCTCAAACCACCATTCTAAACAACCAACTGAGGGTAACCTGACTTGACGTTCGCTTAGCTCCGTCATTCCTTACTTGAAGAACATCGATAGCTAAGGTCCTGTGTCATTCCACAGCAACGATTGTTCAGGGCATCTTGAGGAAGGGGGGGGCATGGAAGTTGATCTGTTTTCTGTTCATGCCTCACATAGTTGCTGTTTCAAGCGGGCAAAGGCGTGTCTTCCTTCGTCAACCCTGTTCTCCTGCCACCTCATTTGTCCTCTTTTCCTCCAAAAAGGGGGGGGGGGGGGTGAGCCTCCAATCCGGGGAGAGGTGAGCCTCCATCCGGCCCCAAAGCCGGATTAAAATGGGCTGAACCCCCCCTCATTTGTCCTCGTTTTCTCACAAAGGGGGGGGCATGAGCCTCCAATCCGGTCCCCAAAGGCGCCCAAACCTCCAATCCAGCCCCCGCCTTCGGACCAGGCGAGACAACTCTCACCGCAGCAGCAGCGTGGCGCCCGGGAAGCGCTTCAAGTTGTAGCGCAGCTCCCGCGAGCCGAAGGCGTTCCTCTCGACTCGTTGTACCAGTTTCGGAGCACCCCAACTTGTGGCTTCGGGTTGTTTTCCAGCAGAACATGGGTCGGGTTTAGGTTCAGCCTAAAAACCTCTGCCATGCTCGCCGCTCCAGCAAGACAAAAATTTGGTTTGTGTCTGGGAACTTTCTCTGGGGAACCCTACAAGTGGAATGATGTCAGCTGAGCAGAAGGAACGTACAGAGCCTCCTTTTGCCGAACCTGCACATGTTGTGCCAAATCAAGTCAACTAATAATCACACAAATAAAGCAACGAGCCAATCAACTGACTGACTGACAGACTGACTGACTGACACTGACTCACTGACTGACTGACTCACTGACTCACTGACTCACTGACTGACTCACTGACTCACTGACTCACTGACTCACTGACTCACTGACTCACTGACTCACTGACTCACTGACTCACTGACTCACTGACTCACTGACTCACTGACTCACTGACTCACTCACTCACTGACTCACTGACTCACTGACTCACTGACTCACTGACTCACTGACTCACTGACTCACTGACTCACTGACTCACTGACTCACTGACTCACTGACTCACTGACTCACTGACTCACTGACTCACTGACTCACTGACTCACTGACTCACTGACTCACTGACTCACTGACTCACTCACTCACTCACTCACTCACTGACTCACTGACTCACTCACTCTCACTCACTCACTCACTCACTCACTCACTCACTCACTCACTCACTCACTCACTCACTCACTCACTGACTCACTGACTCACTGACTGACTCACTGACTCACTGACTCACTGACTCACTGACTCACTGACTCACTGACTCTCACTGACTCACTGACTCACTGACTCACTGACTCACTGACTCACTGACTCACTGACTCACTGACTCACTGACTCACTGACTCACTGACTCACTGACTCACTGACTCACTGACTCACTCACTCACTCACTCACTGACTCAGTCACTGACTCAGTCACTGACTCACTGACTCACTGACTCACTCACTCACTGACTCACTGACTCACTGACTCACTCACTGACTCACTGACTCACTGACTCACTGACTCACTGACTCACTGACTCACTGACTCACTCACTCACTCACTAAACTCGAATAACTAGTAACTAGCATGTTCATCACACCTGGCTCTCTACCCGTCTCCCCTTCGCCCCTCGTGTTCGGTCTGGGCTCCCCCGACCGCTCAGAGAAGACCCGCACGGGGTCGTTCAGCTCATCGAAGACCTGGCGCTCCTGAGGCGGGCGCGGAGAGATATGGGTGTGGGTCAAAAATAGGGTAACCCCAAGATGGAACCCTGGTAAATGGAAACAAAGACTAAAACCTGCAGTTCCCTGGTGGGTTAATTTTGACCCACAGCCATCTGGGTGTGGCTCAAAATTTAACAGGAGGGGCAAACCGCAGGTTTTGGCCCATGTTTCCACTTAGCAGGGTTTCATTTTGGTACCGGTTTTTTGAGCCACAGCCATATCCAGCGTCCAGTTGAAACCATTTCTCAAGCCATCTGGGTGGCTAGCGGCTAGTCAATTTTTAGTGGACCCTCCCAAAATGGCTTCGGTCGTCCTTGTGGTTTCCCTTTTTAAAACGCCCAAACAGGGTACCCTCGAAAAAAGACACGCCAAGTGTTTGGAAAAGGGGAACCAGTATTGAAACCATGTTTGGAGAACATGTAGAAAACGACATGTTCTCTTGCCAGGGCAGGTCTGTTCACTGGGGGTCCGTTAAAATTGTTGGGGGGGGTATAATGTGTGGCCCTTCTGCTGACATGGCACCTGACAGGAGTCAGCTTGAAGAGGAAATTTGTCCAATACCTTTTTGGGCAAGGGGCTTCTTTTAGATCCACCAAGCCGCATGCCCCCACTTCCGGACCTCGTGTATAATTCCCCAGTTGCAGGGTGGTCTCAAAAAAAGTGGCGCTGGCGCAATAGCTAGAAAGGTGGGCCACCGTCTAGTGACCGAAGGATTGAGGATTGCCCGGACAAGGGTCCTCTACAGGTGGAAGCCAAAACTTGCCGTACCCTCGCATGGGACATGTTCAAAGTCCCCGGATCTGTGCTAAAACTAGAGAGGGAGGGGAAAGAAGCCAGAGCCCCCCAACTCCCGCTGAAAATAGACATCAGACTGGAGCCAGTCTGACCGAACCGCCCGTACCTCTTCGCTTTCAGCCCGAGGCGCGGCGATCCAGTACTCGCTCTTTTCCAGCTCATCGTCATTGAGCGGCAGCTGCGGAAGGTACTCGACCTCAGTCTTCAGAGAAACATCAGGAGCCGTTGGGTTCCCGTTTTGGTGACAAGAGTCAGGGACGAGACGGATCGTCTTGCTTTGTGAGTCCCTAGGAAATTCAGTACCAAAAATAGGCATTTGTGAGGTCCTAGCCTCGCCATGGACCTTACGGAAAAGCCCCGATTTCTTCAAGGGGTACCAGCCATTAAAGGGGGTTTAAGGGCCAGTGAAAAAAAAACAGTTTTTTTTGCGGGAGAAGAAAACAAAGGAGAAAAAAACCATGCCGTCCACAAAAAAAGAAAGAAGGGGTGGCTTTCTTGGCGTCCCCTTCTTGGGACTGCCACGGACAAGCCCAGCTTCAGCTTCCTAATAACAGAAACTGGACCTCAAAGACGAGAAGGGCAGTTCCTTGGTTCAGGCACAAAAAAGGCCCAATATCATGCGTGGCCACGGGCCGACACGTTTGAGGAGCAGGGAAGGCACTCTAAATAGTGTTGGTTGAACTGACCCCCTGCAAAAGTGACACAACCTTTGTTGTGAAAACAAACATTGTCAAGTGTTCAGAGGTTCAAGGGCAAACCAAAACAATCAGGTGATCAAGTTTCAGCCAAGATTGAAAGAGACTTCACCCCAAACTCAAAAAAGAGCCTTGCGAAACCACCCCCCAAAGCTGAAAGAACAAAACAAAACAAAAGGAGCCACCCCCCCCCCCCCCCGCGAAATCGCTGTCCAAGGGGCATCCTGCGTTCCGGCGGCGCCCGCCTCCTGAGCAGAAACCACACGGCCCAATGAAATTCCGGGTGTTTTCCTTTTCGATGCCCAGACTTCCTACGTGGATTGGCGGGAAAACCGGCCAAACGGGTTGCTTGCCGCTACCTTTGTCCAGGACCAAGCGCAGGAACTCAGGCAGCGAGTGTCCTTGGGCTGATTTTTAACCGCCCAAGGGGCAAACACCACGTTTGTCAACTGGACATACAGTGAAACTGGAAGATCACGAAGTGTATCTGAGCAATTCCAGAGCCAAGAACAACTTTTGAGCTGTGGGCTACTAGCCTTGTTGAGGCCAGTCACAACCCAGATCTCTGGTGCTCCACAGTTGCTGGCAGTTCATTGAAGGGTTCGTTGTGGTTGCAACCCCTGGAACCACAAAAACATGTCAGACTTTGGTGGTTGACAAATAGGGTTCCATACCTCCCGGATGAAGGAATGGGCTACGGCACTGGGAGGGTAGCAACATTTGTGCAAATAGTCTCAAAAGTCAAAAGGACCCAAACAAAAATCAGAGGACAAAAACGCGCCAAAAGAACGGCCTCAAACAAGCACTAAAGACATGATCTAAGGTTAGGTTCCATGGTTCCATGGTTCTTGGGAGACCACCCTGAGGGGCCAATCTGTACACGGTCTGCTGACGGCAACGCCCGCACGGGTGATTTCGTCCAAGTGCGAAGCCGGAGTTCAGGCCCAAAAAAGATCATGCCATGAGGCTGGAGCAAAAACGGCGAGATTCGAGGGCTGCACCAACGCAGTGCTGAAGCGTTAGATCGTGAGGCAATACGCTTTGCCCCTGCTGTGCTGGATCCCATACCTCGATACCTCGATACGTACCGCCGCCTCCCGTCTCGCTGTGCGTTCCTTACCTGCAACTGCAGAGAAAGACTGAAAGGGAGACTCGGGTTTGAGAGACACACGAGGCTCCGAAGCTTGATTAGCTCCAGCATGTCCGTCCTCATTAGCAGCTGCTGGCTGCATTGGCATTAGATTGCGAAGCGGAAGACGATTGCCCGGGTTCGGCATCGTCAGCCGGGGCCAAGGGCACTTCAGAAGTTTCACCCCAGAACTGTCATCGACCTGTGACATGACATAAGCACTAGAAAAACGCTCATGCTTGCGAGGGTCAGGTCATCCTGGGAAAATCCTAGAAACCACACCCGCGCCCCCGACGGTTACGACCTTATTTATTTGGCCTGAGGTTGCTGACACTGTGGTTATGGGGGCCATTCGAACACAAAACCAAAACAAATGAATAACGGCACCCAAAATCAGCACGCCAAGATCAGCGGCTACCACAGTCACTAGGTACGAAGATCACTGACCCCGACTTTGGCAGCCCGAAGAAAATCCTCCCAGATCGGACACCATCTCCTTGGCCGATGGATGGATTGCTCATGGTTTTGCTCAAGTAGAGAAAAGACCACACGGAGGTTCTTTGAACCTTCTGATGAAAGGTTCTAAGAACACTTCGTCTTCGGAGTCCCCACGGGCCCCTACGAGTGTCACTCCTCACCCAAGATAGCCCCAAACCACTCCTCTGGCCCAGAACGAGCCCGCCTCTCCCTGTTGGTCCCCTAAGTCACGTGCCGAATCTGAGCACGGCACATTCGCGAGGCCGAAGAAGGCGTTCAGCTGTTCTAAGCTGCGCCTGAAGACACCAGGCTTGCACATCGTTCACGGATTCATACGAAAGCCTGATCCCCCCACAAGGAGAATTATTGATGGAGCCAGACAAGCTTCATAATTGGAAGCGAACAATACCCTGCCGCCCTGCCCACAAAAAGCACACAGACCTGCAACCACAAGTTTGATGGCTGGAAGACAGAGGAAAAGCACTCACAAGCAAAGGCTCATTTTTTGGAGCCCAATTTGCTGGCCAGGGTGAGCTTCACATAGCGGCACCATTGAAAATGCACAAAATTCATCTGAGGCTAAGCAAAAACCGGCTGGTTGGGTGGGATCTACAAGGTTCTTGTTTCTACTTTTGCGCAAGGGTGTGAGCTGCTTGACGCACTGCGGAAATGGATTGAAAAGGCGTTTTAATTGCATAGGCTGCGCTTCGGCGCAGCGCGATGTCCACCTTCAGTTTTGGCATCAGCGATGCCCATCGTGGCAGGCGAGACGCAGCGCTCAGGCACTCCACTTAAGGGCATGTTGGCTTGCTCGAACCGTGCCAACCAAACCGGTACAAAAGGCATGGGCCCCTTTTGCCAAAAGCCCAACGAGGCGCGAAAACTAATTTCCCAGTGTTTCCGTTCAACCTCATCTTGCCCAAAAAGAAGCTCACTTAAGTGGCCCAAAAAGAAGGGAAAACAGAGACCGGGGGATTCAAGCAAGCAAACCGGATTGATGGGGCCTCCATAATGTTTCCAGCACCCCCCTTGGTTTCTTGGGAAACATCGACAAGGATGCATGCTGGGTCAAGCAAACAACGCAGTGTTTAATCAGCAACGCTAGGGTCTCAAACTCAAATCCTAGAGATACTTCTTCGGCTCTTCGGTTGGATATGGAACCCAAGCGCACGATGTCCGGTCACGTGGCTACATCCATCTCAGAAACTCCCAACATCTTGTCAGCTTCTTCGTTTGCATGCTGCCAAACATTGTGCCGGAAAGCGAGCGGTTTGCGCGACTGCCTTGCGGACTTGTCTCTCCTGCTTTCCTGCTACGCCGCTTGCTGTCCCCTTTTTGCGGTTGGCCCAGCTGCCCAGCGGATGACGAACGTCTCACCTTGAAGGCCTCGTTGGTCAAACTGACCAACTGCAAAAGTGATCCACGTGCTGCGAGGTTGGGGAAAACAAAAACGAGCCCAAACGTTAAAGGCCGATTTTGGTTAAACCTGCAACACCACCAACAAAACGAACCCCTTAAGGCCTTCTCAAGGACTTCTCCTTGGCTCATCCTGGGCTTCTCTCGGGATAGACCCCCCCCCCCCCGCTCCCCCCCCCCATAGCCCCCCCAAAGGGTCCATGTCCGAAGCCTGTCTTAGGCTGATGGAAAGTCGGCTCCAAAGGGTGGGAGCTTCAATGCGATCTCAGATGCCCAGTGGCCACGGGAAAAAAAGGCATCCTTGTTTTTGGTTGGCTGACGTTAAAGGGGAACCCTTCCCAAACAAAAGGAACAAAAGGGCACCACTGGGCAACAGAGTGATCAGCGTGCCGTAGCAAAGCCATCCCAGCCGAATCATCCGCCCAATCGATCCGTTTCTGGTTTCGCCTGTAAAGCTTGCTGGCAACCACCGGGTCCTTCTTGTCCTTCAACATGTTGCCTTGGATCAGGACATCGGAAGGGGCTGAAAAGCCGAAACTCAACGATAATATTCTCAATAATATCAGAAAAGGAGGACATGTCAACAGTCGGTGATCTTTCAAAGGAAGCGTGCAAGCCAACATCAGAGTAAGGTCAAGAAAGGAAAGCATCAGGGCTGAGTGGGGAGGGTCCCCGCGGAATCCTCAGGGACGTCATTTCCCAGCGTTCGGTGCTCTTCGACTCACAATTGCATCTCTATTTCTATCTCTCTCTCTCTCTCTCACTCCCTGACATTCGAAATCATTGCTTCCCACAACTCCACCAGAGTAGTTGGCTGCTTTGAGACCAGCAACCAAACAAACAAACAACTAAACAACCAACCAACCAACCAACCCACCCCACCCCACCCCACCCCACCCCAACCAACCAACCCAACCCAACCAACCAACCCAACCCAACCCAACCCAACCCAACCCAACCCAACCCAACCCAACCCAACCCAGCCCAACCCAACCCAACCCAACCCAACCCAACCCAACCCAACAACCCTTGGGCTTCCTTCCGGCCAAGCGGCCCATCTCCGTGATGGTCTTCTGGAAAGCATCTATTTTCTTCCGGCCCTCTTCGATCTGAGCGAAGCCGCACTTTGCCCGATCCGCGAATTCGACTCCGCGAATTCGACTGAGAGCGCTGGTCCAAAGCGAGGGTTCCAATGCGAGGTTGTGGCGCTTCAACAAGGAAACAAAAGGTGGTCAGACATCGGTGGTTCAAACTGGCCTCCCAATTTTACAACAAAAAACCTCCAACCAGTAGGGGTGAGAGAAAAGTAAGCCAACATAATGGGTCTTCCAAGCATCCCTGACATCATCAGAAATTCTCTTTGGGTATCACCCGTGGGGCACAGGGCAGCACCGAAGAAAACCTGGGATTCTGAGCCCTACAGGTGACATCTGAACTGGCTTCCTTGACACATTGAAGTCTTCTTTGGGTCATCGGGGCTTTCTCTCACCGCGAGTCTCAACAGAGTGGCATATGTCCCGCGAGTGCCAAACAGGGGCCCAGCATTTGCCGAATCTTAGAACTTCCACATGATGTGGTCCCAAGCCTTCCAACGGACCCCCGATGGAGCGTCCGATTTTGCTTCTCGCAAGTCAAAGGCCGGCAAGGCCAACAATTGCAAGCATAGCCTGATGGATCAAAAATGACACTAGGCTCCCAATGATGCAGATCCGCAGTTCGCGGTTTGGAGGTCGTCCAACAACGGGAAAACGGGAAATTGAGGGACCGCCCGCTCAGTGCGAATCGAACGAATCCTTGCCAAGGCACGTAGTTGGAATCTGGATCCCAGACATCGCCGCCGACCATCCTTAGGCTGTGGAGCAAGGGTTGGCCACTTCAAAGCATTCAATGCTTCTCCATGTTGGTTGTGGGTGGGGACAAGCACTACCAAAACAGTCCTCCACACAAAGTCTGCCCTCTTGATCGTCTTCCTCGGGGCCAACCCATGTTGAGCCATCGAAACGCAAATCGAGGAACCAACTGAGGCTGCGTGTCAACAAATTCACGGGCCGGCTTCAAAGGAAACCAAGCCATGAAAAACCCATGGCAAGAGCAACCGGACATGTGAAATTATGAAAGGGGATGGGCGCGGGTTGACTTTGCAACCCTCTTAGATGGAGCTTCTGGAGCTTCTGGAGCTTGCAAAATCGACTAGCGCCGTGCAAGTTATATATCAGGCTCAAGCGTCGGGCGGTCACAATGGAAGCGCCCTTGCTTCGGAACAAGATGAACCCCAGGGACACCCCTAGTGCAAATGGCCCCCAGGGTGTTTCCAAGAGACCTACGGAGCATCCCTTTTGGCCAGCGCGATCTCGGGAGACGACAAAATGTGAGTTTACCAACTCAAACGGCCCCAGCAAAGCAAACGCACCCAATCCACTGGACAGGTGCTTTGGGCGTTCAACTGGGGTTGCCTGCCACCTCCTTTAGCCACGTTGGGAGATAACTAACACAGCGGGGCCAAGAAACCACTTGGCCTCCACCAAACAACCGAGCACTTAATTTCAGCCCCTGGAACTGCAGAAATCAAACCAAGCGATTGCTCCACCCTGCCTACTGGTTACCACAGAAAACATGAACCCGGAATCAAACAGTTTGACTCGAGCCTCAAGAGCCGTCCCATGTTGCTTTCCATCTCAGCCAGAAACTGGCGAACACTGCAGCTGCTGTTTCCAGAACGGGCCTTCCTCTTATCTTTGATCCCTCCGGGTTCGGAGCATTCCCAGGGGTCAGTAAAAAACTGCCAGGCGAGAGGTAAGCATTTTGCCAGCTCAAGAGGAGATGCCTGGGGACATTGCAAGCTGCAGTCACTAGTACGTGACTCCTGCAAAACGACGCTCTTAATCAAGAACTTAGAGCTGTAGATATTTTGCTGGTGGCTAAGAACAGCAGCCATCCAATAGAAAGCCGAGAGCCCTGCAGAAACATCGGCGTGATGAGCGCGCCTCAGCGCGAGATCGTCCGCTGCGTCATGTTTTAGCCTTGAAACAAGCAAAACGGAGGAGACCCCATGTGGTCCTCATGGAAATCCAAATGCTCGCTTACACGGACAACCCTGGACTTGTCTTGTGGGGAAAACAGTCCATATTCTAAGTAACCAGGCGTGGCCGGCAAACCAATGAGACCATTTATTGACTGCCCCTCAACTTAAAACAGGGGGTGGGGGAGACACGCTTCTAACCCCGAAATGACCTTTTCGGGGTCAGGAGGGTATGTGGGGGGGGGTGCCTCGGCCAGCTAAATCTCGACCCCCCGCCGAAATCTCGGCCCCGGACGCTCCACTTGCGAGAGGCCGCCCTGCCGGCTCCCGCCTCCTTAGGTGTGACAGCTCAGACACTTGGGGAATCCGGGGCCAGGCGGCAGGTACACTCACTTGGCGAGTGACCAGCCCAAAAAAAAGTGGACACTTTTTGGGCCACCACTAAAATAAAGAGAGAGCCACCAAGGACAAAAGTGTAAAGTGTGTCCACTGGCTGGGTGAGTACAAGCGGGGTGGGCAGCTGAGCCTGAGGAGATCCTTAGAGTTCCTTAGGCCTGAGGTTCCACTCAAAGCCCCGTTGGAAGGCGTCCCTTGACCATGACAATGTATACAAGCACATGGAACAACCGTTCAACTTAACTACCCTGTCCCCAACCAGAACTCCTAGCACCCAACAGCTTCCTCTTCCTCTGGCACATTTGGCAACCCCCTGCTCCAGATCGGCGCCCTTCCAACCAGCAGCTAAGAGGCGAACAATTGCCAAACACTCTCAAACATGGCCGTGGCACCAAATTCCATCCAACCCAAAGAGCGACTGCCAGAATCGTCAAGCCTCCAGAACATTTTCCGGCCACTCGATTCCCCCCCAGATTCGAACCCGGTACACTGGCTGTTCAAAATGGACAGATGACCAATCCGATGTTCCAATATGATCTTAAGGAAATGGCTGCAACCAGGACTAAATCCTTAACCCAGTGTCCAGCAAGCTGGTAGGTGGACATGTCCTTGAAAACTCGCTTGAACCTAAAACAAAGAGGAACGGTAGGGAACCTGCGAACCGACGCGGTCCGTCTGTTTGGCTCCTCTCCCCCGAGGCCTGCCTGACACAGTGCGCTCAAGGTCCGACAGCGCCTTCGAGCTTCGCGGCGGCGAAGCGGCAAGCGAAAGCCTCGAATCCTACACCGGCCGGCCGGCAATAAGCAAACAAAAACAAAAAAGAAAGGCGGGCAAGAAGGCGAAAGGACCAGTTGCCCGGGAGCCTGAAAAAGAGAAAATGGCCAAGGGATTTATTTGGTCGACTTGTTTTCTTGACACATCTCGTGCCTGCAGCCTCAGACCCAACCAGCCCTTGGATTGGCGTCGAACTTTTGGATGCAAACAACACTTGGATCCAAGCATTTGGAGGGCTTGCATTTTTGACGCATCGATGCCGGTACCAGAATTGTTCTACAATTTGCGGGTGCGACTGTCCAACCCGCCCAGCAAAACACCACGGCCAACAAACTGGGCGAAGCGCCAGAAAGGAGTGAACTATGGGCAATGGGTACACGGCCAGCCCCACTTTTTTCCCGGTTGAAGCAAACCTTTGCGCCAGTTAGCGTCACTCTCTCACTGCTTTCAGTTCAAATGCCATGAGTCATGGACCTGTGGTCTCTGCTTGTTTGCCGCATGTGAGATACACTATACTGGTTTGGTCAAACCGGCCCCCGCAAACAGTTAACATGCAAAGTTGGTGGTCCAACTAACACGAACAGCTTTCCTCCAGTTGACGGGGTGCGTCTGCCTTGTATATCTGGGATCAACAACCACAAAAATATAGTCGAACAAGAAAACAAAACGACACGTTTGCGGTTTGCTGTTTGTTGTTTGTTGTCCTTTTTGTTTTGTTGTTGTAAGCTTAGGGCTTCCCCTCCGCAAAAAGTACAAACATCAGGCAACCCTTTGGAAGGTCTTGGGCCGTCGCACCTCTCGCCGGACTTGACCCGCGCCTTGCCGGCCATGCAAAGCCCGACCCCGCAGGCCTCATCGGTGACCTCGCGAGGTCAAAGCCCCGGGCTGAAGCCGCGGGGCGTAACTTTGTCGCGTGCAGATCCCCCAGAAACAAATAAAATCAACTTTTTGCAGGTGAAAAGGACACATGAGGGGTATCCAAAAAGTTAGAAGTCTAAAGATCCAAGCGAATATCAATAGCAGTAGAGTTTGATAGCTCGAATATGTCCCGCATCTTGACTAAGGAGAAGAAGGATGCCTTTTGCATTTGTCTGACAAATTTGGGGGAAGAAAAAACACCACAACATGTCCCGCCCCCTTTGGGCTTCTGTTTGGGAAAGATTAAGATTTTGTCTTCTGTTTGGCACCCCGCAATCACCTGGTTAAGCAATGTTTGGCGCATGCTTTTTGACCGCGGTTGTTTCCCTTGTCTTCAAGACACCGCACATTTGCGGGAGGAATCAATGAAATGAAACCTGCATTGTACATAAGGATGGGCACTCGTCTTCGACCGGAGAGTGAGATCATTCAAGGCAAAATGCTGTTGTCTAGCGGGTGGATTTAGAGTCCATGCTGAATGGACTAAACATGAGTGAGTCACCTGAGTGTTTGCAGACCCCTGTATCAGCCGCGACTTCTGCAAGGTTCACCCAAGCCCGGTTAGACCCAGACTTCATGGGTGGCTTCGTTTTTGTTTTTGTGTAACCCCCCCACCAAAAACACACACACACACAAAAACCAAAAAAGAACATTACCCCCCCCCCAAAAAAAAAAAAAAAAAAAAGAATACATCACAAAAAACATTGCCTCCCCCCCAAAAAAAGAGTGTTTAGCAAACACGATCACCCCAACAAGCTCGAGGTGCCGCTTCGGCGCCGGCGATTTTTTTTACGTTCCCGTGCCACGGTTTGGGGGTATATAGGTGGTTTTGTGCTTTGGGGATGTGGCGGGTGAGGGTGCCTGCCTGCCTGCCCGCCTGCCTGCCTGCCTGGCGCTGCCTGGCTGTGGAAGATGTTAGTAGAAGAGTGCAACCCCATCTTGCCTGAGAGTTTGCTATTGCCTGGCTGCCTGCCTGCTTGCTTCCTTGCTTGCTCGCTTTCCAGGAATACACCCCAATCAAGCAGGACAAAACCCTCAAATAATATGGCGCCCTTTGGGACGGGGGGTCTCTTTGAGACACATGCATATGAGATCTATTCAACACCCCACTACCAGGCAAAACATCAACATAACGGGTCCCCGCATATTCGGTTTGGGTCAGGGCCACAAACCCTGCCGGAGTCCCGGGGCCAGCGGAAAGAACAAAAAAACTTTCACTCCCGCCCGCCTTCAAGCCGTCCTCCGCCGTCTCGCCGGAGGCCCTCCGGTTTTCCAGCTCACAGGACCAAAAGGGAAAAACGGGGGCTGGGTATCCCCGGCCCCCAGTCGCCATGTAAAAACAAAAAGGACACGTCGCAGGGTTCAGATGGACATCTGGGATTTCCGAAGGCACCTGGAGGTCGCCCAATGGCCGAACTGAAAAAACATGGGCCGTTGGGAACCTCAGTCTAAACTCCGGGCTTGACCCAAGCTTTACAAAAAAAATGGCCGGACCGTGGCACCTATGCGGTTCTGTCTCACTTCACGACATAAGCATGAGGAGTTTGCGTGTTGCCCCAGGAGGACTAGGAGGCGTTTCTCCCCCTCCCAATCCAAGAAACCAGCAGATTTGTAAGTTGCTCACATCTAAGCTGTGTCTCAAAACCAACCGGGCACCCCAAGGCTAAGGCCAGAACAAAGCTTCCGACTGATGGCTGTCAATTCTGGCTGTGGGAGATAATGTTCACCCAGGATTGATACACCCGTCCTATTCTTAGGACGGTGGCCCCTCCAAAAGTGATGAACCCCCAGCAAAACGGTACACTATGAAACAACCTGGGGTTCAGAAATCCGGGGTTCCCATTGCATTCAATAAATAGGAACCCCTATAAACCATCCAACTGGTGTCCTAGAGAATCCCTAGGCTGACTCCCTTATTCCCTACCGCAACTGCAAGAAAAGGGGCCCTGAGGTCAAGTGGTGAGCCACCTGACATATAGCCCACTAATGAGTGGGGTAAACCCGGGAGAGGTCAAAAAAAGGGTACCCGACATGAAACCCTTGTAAATGGAAACAGGGACTAAGACCTGCGGTCCAATTCCTGGTTGTTAAATTTTGACCCATACGCATGTGGGTTACAAGCTAGGTCACACCCACCCTTCTTTTTCTCCCCAAGCCGCTCAGCCTTCTCACGAGGTCTCCCACGCGGAACCGGTACCACTCCGCGCCCTCGCGCACCGCTCCGGCCTGAGAAGGGTCCCAATTCATTGGTGCCTGACGGGCCCCATGCTGGTAGTAGGATCCTGCATTGGGAAAACCATAGTGTTTACAGCTCTGCGAATTTCCGGACCATGCTACTGGAAACCTTGCGAATGTAGGAAATATGTCGCGGACCTCGTGGAGACAACCAAGGTTCTTAGGAGGGCGCAAACTAAACAAGCAGCCACAAGGTTCCGCAGAACCAGTCGAAGTCGTAAGGTCAATTCCTGGAACGCGCCATGTGCGCCTAACTCACAAGAACCAGTGACGAAGTGCTATCCAGGAAGCACATACCCACACATTGCTTCTTTATCCTTCCAAACGCAACCCCCGCGGACACTCGCTGAAGTTTGGCCGCCAATAAGTGATGTCGAATACCGGAACCCCCGGTGACAGGATCAACCACTTTGAAGAGTCCCTAATCGCAAGACAAACCTAACTGCACAAAATTTGTTTTACCGCAAGTGCGCCATAAGCGCCAACCTATATACGCCAGCGGTTGAATGGAGGTTCCGGGAAAACTGGACAAGTTATCATCACTTCCGCTTTCTTTGGGAAAAACCCAAGCCTACGGCGGCGGGTATTGAGCACCCATATGTTGTGTTTTCGATTCATCCGCGGTTTTGCCAAAGGGGTAACCAGCAAGGTTCCTCTCCCCTAGGGAAACTTAAGTCATGGGCCAAACAGGTGGGTACCACAGCAAACCCTGGTTGGCTCTGCAATATCGAATTCACCGCAAACATCACCAGGGGAGCAAGTATAGCTGCAATCGCCCTGACCAGGGCCTCTCTCTCCACTTGTCCCCAAAAACCCCCGCGCCTGGCCGCGATACTGTGCCCGCCGGAGCTCCGGCCCTGAGAGGCTGAGAGGCTGGGAGGCTGAGAGGCCCGGGCTGTGACGCGAAAACCCGCCCGGGCTCGAAAAAGTGATCTGGGACCAACGATGACTCGGGTATCTGTTGGCAACAAATGGAAACAAGAAATCACGCGCAGAAGAAGCAGCGAAATCATGCCCGTAGTGCCAGTTTGGTGGTTGATGCAGCGCGGGTCCGGCTGAAGGTAGAAAGAGGGGAGTGGAGTTGGCGGACCATGGACCCCACCGCGTTGCACGCTCTCTTGAAGATCCTTACACAGGATCAGCGGCAAAGGTGGTGACGACGCTCTTGCCCACTTTTCGGATGAGCTCAACCCTCACGCGGCATTTTCGGAAGCTGAAATGGGGCCCCCGGCTTTGCCGGGTGAGAGAGAAAGACAGAAAGGGCCGATTGCCCCCCCCCCCCCACCGCCCCTGCTCATTCCGATGAGCGTCTATGTCTGTCCACAGTCTCCCACGCGTAGTCTCCTTAACTGGGTGCCTAATGTCCACGTAGGATTTATAAATGAACCTGTAATAAAGACAAATGGGGGGCCCAAAATAAATAATAAATGCACCTACAATAAAGACAAGCACCCGCCACCCCTGCCCATTTTTTCCAGAAAAAAAATCCAAAAAAAAGAGAGGAAGGAGAGGAAGGAGAGGAAGGAGAGGAGAGATAGCCAGGCAAATTCAAAAACAATCCCAGGTGATGCTGGTGAAGCTTGCTGCTTTCTTCCCAAATCCAAACTGCAGACCTTCCCCAAACTCAAGTTTCCTTACATGTCTCTTGTTTAAAAACTGCCCACCGTCAAACCCACAAAGGGGGTAGTACTTCAGCCCCCCAAATTTTAAGCCCGAGACTTTATTCCAGGGGCCCCTACAATAAAGTCTTGATACATTGGCCCCCCTGAAAAATGCAACTCCCTAGTTGCAGTTACCTCTTAGCTAGCTAAATTTCAAAAACAATCCCAGGTGATGCTGGTGAAGCTTGCTGCTTTCTTCCCAAAATCCAAACTGCAGACCTTCCCCAAACTCAAGTTTCCTTACATGTCTCTTGTTTAAAAACTGCCCACCGTCAAACCCACAAAGGGGGTAGTACTTCAGCCCCCCAAATTTTAAGCGGCGAGACTTTATTCCAGGGGCCCCTACAATAAAGTCTTGATGCATTGGCCCCCCTGAAAAATGCAACTCCCGAACTGCAGTTACCTCTTAGGAAGCTCGAAAGGAAGCTCCAGCAATACTAAATCAAATGGAAACTCAGTTCCAAATCTCAAAAGGAAGCTCCAGCAATACTAAATCAAATGGAAACTCAAGTCTGCCAATACTAAATCAAATGGAAACTCAGTTCCAAATCTCAAAAGGAAGCTCCAGCAATACTAAATCAAATGGAAACTCAGCTCCAAATCTCAAAAGGAAGCACCAGCAATACTAAATCAAATAGAAGCTCAAGTCTACCAATACTAAATCAAATGGAAACTCACTTGAACTGGATCTCAAGATACAATTCCAGGTGCCCCCATCGTTGGGGGGGGGGGGACCCCCGTTTACTAATCCTAGGTGGACATTACTACACCTCCTTGATGAATGCCTCGCCCGCGCTTGTCGCGGCCTGCCGCGCTTCACTCCGGCCTCTTGCGTGGCGCCTTGTCCTTTTCATGCCTGCCCTCGCTTCGGCCCATGATGGACAATTTGACCCCTCCATTGCTGCCGTGACCCGACCCCGCCGTGCTTTGATGGTCTTCTGCCGGGTTGCTCGTAAGCAGGCTCTTCCTCCAGGTGGTCAGGCGGGAGACTCTCCGGCGTCCAAAGGCACCTGCCCATAGGTATCCCCACGTTGTCGGCCACCTGCCAGCTTCCAGCGCGCGTAGCATACAAGTCAGCAATCCTTGAGTATTTGTTGCGGAGTCTGGGCTTGCGCCTGTATGGTGAAGTCCTTGAAGAACGGACCTGCCACTGCGGTCAGACAGATGGGCTATTCTGGTCTCAGCACCGCCATGAATGTCACCGACTCGCTGTAAGCGCTTGGAATGCCATCCACCTTTGCGCAGCTTGTGCAATGGGAACGCATCCATGTGCAGGTCACTGTGAGCCCATTGCACCTGCGGGTCTATGCGGACTGCCGCTTCATTGCGGGGAACGGCACCACGCGACTGCGCCCCTGATTCTCATGTCTGTGCGTGTGTGTTGCTGAAGTGTGCAAGGCGAGGTGGTCCTTCCGTGTCACCCGCAGCCCAATCCTCAGCCCACGACCACCGACATGGCGGTCGTGTGCTCACAACCGAGAACTGCGAACGTGATGCGTTGTATCATCGAGTGAACATGGCTACAGACCGATCACCCCCCCCGCCCCAAAAAAGCAAGTAATGACAAGTTGCCAAATAAGGGTCTCCTACCTTGTCGAGGGATCCTTTACTTTTGCTTGATTACAACACTCATTTCTGAGTAAGCTGGAAGGACACATAATCCGAATCAGGGGTTCCTCCGTGAGAGTGTCAAAGGAAGACCGTTCTGATCATAAGCACCCTCCAAAATGGATGGGCATGAACACGTCCAATCAAAATTCACACACATTGCATGGGTCAAAATCCCGTACCCCTACTAACATCCCAATCCAACCACTAAAATAGGTTCTAAAATGGGTGGCAAATTCACCTACCAACCAAAATGGGATACCAAAACGGTTTTGACCCACACACACACACACACAAATAGCATTCTCTGGACCCCCTCTGGGTGAAGCGACGGCTTCCTGGCGAAGGCCCGCGCCTTCCTGCGCCCGCGCAGGCCTCCCATCTGCGGCAAGCAGCAGAGGGGCCGCCAGCAGCAGGCGCCGCCGGACCTCGAAACATGTCTCCGAGTCTAGCCTCGAAGCGAAGGAGTTGAAGCCTGCGGTTTTTTGTTGCCATTTGGAAAAAAGGGTAACCCCAAAATGGATCCCTGGTAAATGGAAGCATGGGCTAAAACCTGCGGTCCAATTCCTGGTGGTTGAAATTTTGACCCATACCCATTTGAAGGATGGCCATACCACGTCCCTAACCAGAAATCCGAGTTGGCTCCGCAAGTTGCTCCCTGTTTCAAAACGCTCCTCCGGCTCCAATCCAACCACCAGAGGGGTCGCTATGGGTGGCGGGGCAAAGCGCCACTTTCAGATTGATGTCTCGAATATGGGTGTGGCTCCAACTTAAACAGGAGGGGCAAACCGCAGGTTTTGGTCCATATGTCCACTTACCAGGGCAACCCATTTTGGGACAGGTTTTTTGAGCCACAGCCATATACTTGCGCTGGAAAATGGCAGGGTGCACTGCGGGGCGCAAGGCAGGGCACAGCGTAATGTTAGGTTGCGAATAATAAATGGGGAGTCAATACACAAGAAAAATCCCAAAATTATTCACACGCCTGAAAAGCAAAAGGGGGAGGTAATACACAAAAGATATTGTGAGGTGCAAAAAATCCGGAAAAATGTTCCCCAAAAAAAAGTTTGATAATTAATACCTAGTTCAGTGCAACTCCTGTCTCTCTCTGCCCCGCCCGCCCCCCCCAACCTACCACCACCACCAACAAGGAGATGATGATTGAAGTCCCTGAAAAGGAAGTTTAACTGAGGTCCCCAACAGCCAAATTCTTTATGACAGCCCTTACTAAAAGTTGCACCCTGCCAAATTTCCAAGGGGGTAGTACAGGGAACACCCAGGAAGCCAATAATGAGATTTGTTTAAGGGGGGTTAATTGAGAAAAGTTTTTTAGGACTGGATGCCTGCAGGGAAAAGGGCTTCCCTTTCCAAAGAACTACTGAGTCTCCCCAGAAAAGGATGTTTTCTTTCCAAAGAACTACTGAGTCTCCCCAGAAAAGGAAGTTTAACTGAGGCCCCAACAGCCAAATTCTTTATGACAGCCCTTACTAAAAGTTGCACCCTGCCAAACTTTCAAGGGGGTAGTACAGGGAACACCCAGGAAGCCAATAATGAGATTTGTTTAAGGGGAGTTAATTGAGAAAAGCTTTTTAGGACTGGGGCCAGGGAATACTAAACCAATACTAAACCAATTCTAAACAGTACAAAGCCAGTCAACCAGAATACTAAACCAATACTAAACCAATTCTAAGCAGTACTAAGCCAGTCAGCAAGAATACTAAACCAATACTAAACCAATTCTAAGCAGTACTAAGCCAGTCGGCAAGAATACTAAACCAATACTAAACCGATTCCAAGCAGTACTAAGCCAGTCAGCAAGAATACTAAACCAATACTAAACCGATTCTAAGCAGTACGAAGCCAGTCAGCAAGAATACTAAACCAATACTAAACCAATACTAACCAATACTTACTGGAATACTACTTAGATCTACTTAGGGAAGACCCGGTCTGACCCTCATTTTGTTTTTAGGGTTTCCTCTATTGACCCCCCCCATTTTGTGTCGGGGGGGGGGGGGCCTTATTATTCACTCCCCAACATTACCATGGCGCAGTAGGGTTGCAAGGTGCCTATGTTCAGAAATGTTCGTGTAAGCAACTGTTGCCGAAAAAAACAAAGACCACCCCCAAGAACGGAATGGATTCCGAGAAGGTCTGCTTCATAAAAGTGGAGGAGACCCAGAAACGTTGGTTCTACTTTAGTTAAGGTCCCAAGGATCTCATGGCACTTTATTTTGGGCCCGCTTTGCGGTAGACTTCTTCTTCTCAATGGAATCAAAGCAGGAAATCTGGGTTCCAGTCTTAGCTCACTAACTTGGTTGCTGTTGACCCCCCTGCAGAAAGTTTAACTTTTTGGAGGTTTAGTGGAAAACGCCTTGCTTTCCCGAAAAGTTAAAGTCTAAAGATCCAACCCAATAGAAGTCAAGCTAAGTGTCCGTTTCTCCCTGAACTTCACCCCCCTGCCACCTGCGCACCTGCGCGCCTGCGTCTCGCAGAAGCCCTCTCGCGGCGCTGGGAGCAGGCCGAGCCCCAACAGCAGGCCTAGCGCCTGAAGCGAAGCGGCGGCCTTTCTAACGGAATGGCTTCACCCTTTTCACATAGGTGGCCTTGTGGAAAAATCGATGGCCCTGGTAATTGGAATAAACCATCTAAAGCAGGGCCCTCTATTTTTGTAAGCAAACCAACCAACAAGGACACCTATGCCTTTTCGGTTTTTTTGGAAGGGAAACCGAAACTTGGTTGCTTCTGCTCGCCTGCTAAAAGTGAATAACGTTTGGTGGTTGAATGGAAAACCCATTCGTTGGCAAAAAGTTAAAGTATTGACATCCAAGCAACATGCACCAATGCACCAAAGGAAAGGAAACCGCCAAACCACCGCATCCAGGAAACAACAGCAGCTCGCAAATCTGCCCACAAACGAGTTTGCAGAGAACCATCCCGATAAATTTGCAACCAGAACCCTGCAACCCAGAACATCCACAATTTTACAATACGTCCCAAACCTGAGGATCCCCAAGTAAAAGCCCATCGACGCTTCTTGGAGCGGCCTGCCCCGCGCAGGGAGACTACAATCAAGCAAAAGTCAGGTGCTTTGCGCTCCTCTGAAAAGGCAGACTACAGGTGACTTTTTGCAGGGGGGTCACTCTTTGCTACTTAACAGCGAGAATAGAAACTATCCAAAATTGGTGCCCAAAAGCTTTCATGAAGAAAGAGCGTAGCCTGGCTAAAGAGGGTCACTATCTACAACATGGCAAAGTGAGAAGTCCCCGTGTGGCTCCGTCCTGCAAAACATTCAGGCAGTCACTGTAAAGGTGGCCGCACCAAGACATGCAGCAGTAGGAGTGGTGGTGTAAGGCTAATGATACCTGCAGCGTCCCAGAAGCGGAGGTGGCCAGGCAAGGCAGGAACATGCGCGAGAACGTGTGCAACTGCTTTTGCGAGATGGCAACGCAGCCTTCATCGATTGATACCTGACGCTTAAGCTTCTTGATGGGGCTGGGTGAGAGTGACCAATCAGTGATGTTCTCATCCAAGAAGTTCCATCCGGCTGGGCAGGCTAATCATCATGGGAAGCTGGGGCAAGTCAAAGTGGTTCCCATTCATCGAAGGCGGCACATACTCGATCATGGGAGCAGTCCTCGCTGAGGAGGATTGTCATGTTCCGTGCACGGAGTGCCAGAGGGCGACGGCTCGCAAGCAGAGAAGTGACTGTTCTTGGATGTGGCTCACAAGCATCAAACCCATCGCTCCGGATTTGGTGGAGGAGCTGGCCAACAAGCACCTCGGTAGAGGTCTGCGCGGCTTTCGGGGTGTGAGGAGCAAGAGCCCATCTCCCAAATCCAGCACAGGACAACTTATCTAATCGAGAGGGCAGCTGCTCAAAGACAAGCGGGTTGACTCGGCAGAGTGAAGCATCAGCTCCGCATTGCCAGCATCGCCTTCGATCAGTCGGGGGTCAAAACCTTTGAAGACAAGGTATCACCAATGAAGTCAGTGCAGAGAACAGGGGCCTCAAAGCATATAAGGATTGATTGCAAGCCGCAGCAATCAAGATTGACTCGCGGCTGATGCGTGCGCTCGACAAAGGGTCTGACGAGTGCTCGGCGTTTTTCCGGTGCAGGGTTGTGGGAAATGACCACTTCTGTGATACAACAAAAAGGGCTTCCCAAAGACTAACACCCCATACACAGGGGGAGATTTCCTTGTATCACAGAAGTGGGAATAAACCCCTTGATTCCACAACCCTGTTCCGGTGTGATTGACTAGAAGAGCGGTCGCAATGGTCCAAGTCGTCGACATTTATGGCTCATCCGTCATCCCAGGCGACTGTACTCCAAGGTCACTACGGGAAAGCGGAGCCAAAACCTTACCACGAAAAAGAGCTGCACAGCGAGCTCGCTTCACCCCCAAATATGCTCGCCACATAAGTAGGCAGAGCACATGGGCTATCTCAGAGTCTCAAGCCCCGAGCCAGCCTGAAGGCGAAGCGCGCGCGAGCGCATGGCTGCCAGCAATTGGCTTCAGGGGGCTGGCTGAAATCTGGGGATAGGTCTCTCATGGTTGTCATGTTAAGGAAACAATCAGAGGCTTGTGGTTTGCCCGCGAAATTGGAAACATGTTTGCAAGCTTGTCTTTTGAAAAGGAATAGAAGGGGTCGTCGGTTTTGCCAACGAAAAGCATTTAGCCATCCTTTCCGGGTGCCTTTTACTCATTTGACCCTTCTTGTCCACCGGCAGATGGAGAAAAGACACCGCTGTTGCTGATCTGCAAATCCAAGGTCAACCTCTTGGAACATTGACAAGAAATGGCTACCGAGGGAACAAATATAGTCGAAAGCTCGATTCGCTGAACTGAGGGTATTTGAGCAGGCCGTTCTGAGTAACCCCTTCTTTTGGCTGACAAGATGTGAGCCCGCCCCTTCTTGGCTGTGGCGAGTTTGGTGTTTTTTTTGCTTACAGGCCAGAGCAGTGCTTTTGCAACCATGCAACTCACGTCTCCGGGAAGCCTGATCCAGAGTATTGGCTCGAGACAGCGATGCGCGATGCGCAGCTCATCTTCTTCGACATGTGGGGAAACCCGCCACCAACTTCCCAAAATGTGGTCTGAGTGGTTGAATGAGCGCCCCCTGACTTACAAAGCCCAGTGATAGAGAGAGAGAGAGAAAGAAAGAACAAATCTGCAGCGAGCCATCCCTTGCCCCCGAGTTCTTGAGAACACGAACAATGGAACCCCACCACTGCAGAGAGCGCATGTCCCCAATCCACAAGTGGCAATCCATGTTTCGCGATGGACTCCAACGAAAAGCAGCCACCTGTCACAGGGAAAAACAAAAACAAAAGAAAACGGGAACTTGAGAAGGACTTCTCGGAACCGAGACGCCACAAAAAGCCTCTTCTCTCGCCCGCGCCCTCGCGCGCGATTTTTTTGGTTGGCGCGCGGTTCTGACTTTTTTTGCCGAGGACGGCCGGCCTCGAAGGGCACGGCCCCTCACCTAATGGCCCAGCGGCAATTTGCGCGCGTGGAACTTGTGGCTTAGACACACATTTTCTCCCCTTTTCATCCGCAGGCTGGATCTTTGGGGGTTAGAAATAGGAAAACAGGCACTTCTTAAGGTTGCTTAGGATATCTCCTTTCATCCGCTACCCCAAGCACTGCACCGGCACCGGAATCTTGGGAGAGTTGGTCGAAACTCAAAAGAGGCCTTTTTAAGGTTGCCCAAGATTCTCAGGAGAAGAACCCCAAAGATGTGCACGGGGCCCCCCTTGGTGTGGCTTTCTCGCGTCTCTATCTGGAATCCCGAAGCCGACAAGCGGAATCGCATGCCGCTGGACAGCCGAGGGTTGTTCAAAAAGAAAGGGCCCCAAGTTTGTACCCAGCATTGATTTCCCCTTGAAAAAAGGGGAAAAGCAAACGGCTCCAACAAGGCATCCTCTTTTCGAGCAACCCGATCTCATGCATTCCGAGTGGACGAGTCTGCAGAGTCTGTAGAGAGGTGCGGACTCGCAAATGCGCTTGGCGCTTGACACCTGCACCGGAGCAATCCAAGCCAAGGTCGGGGTTCCTATCTCCTATGCTTTGCCCGGTCTCCCAGCGACAGCAGGGGTCACTTGAATTTCCCCATCAACAGTTGCAAAATACTGTTGGTGTCCATTGAAACTGCAATTTTGGAGGTTCCAGAAAGGGAAATGAAGGAAGCCCGCGACAACCCCTCCTTGTGTTGACTCTTTCAGGGGGTCTCATCGGAGCAAGAACCGACTGATTTGAGTTGCTTGCTTGATGGGGAAGGGAAGCTCCGATTCGAAAACGCGGAACAAGCTTCTGACTTTGATAACCCCAGAAATGGTTTCAAAACAATGACCCCGGTAGGAAAAAAACAACAGCGTAGGAAGGGGAGTTGGAAAGGAGGAGCGGTTGCGCCTTGGACCCAGTAGCTCATTTTCCCCTTGCTCGATCCTGGAAAAGCTCTGAAGCCCAAGTCCATACCATGTTTCGAGTCTAGCGAGAAACGAGTTTGCTACAAACGTTGATCGAAGTCCAGGCACCCCTCCCCTTCAACTACTTGTCAAGGAATAGCTTCACGCAGTTGTCTCCCATAATGCGCATGATGGAGTTGATGGATTTGTCAAAATTGGGGAGCCCCAAAATGGTTGCTCTCCTTTTGGCTTCCCTCTACAACCATGACGGACTTCCATATAAACCAGGCCAAATAATAATTAATCACGTCCTATAAAAGAAACCTTCATGGGGCCCCCCAAAATCGGTCTTGGCTGGAATCAGGTCAAAAAGCGTTGCTTTGGGCCAAAAGAAAGAATTGCGCAAACCAAAAGCGGCAAAAAGGATTATACGTTAGTTTGAGTCTGGCAATGTAATTTGAGGCTCGTCCAGATTCGCTTTCCCGACCCTGACGGGCTCTATTCCCATATTCCGGTGAGCCGCTCACTCCTACGTGAGCGGGTGACAACCGTGTCGCTGTCACCTGGGCCCATCCATAGATCTGGGCAAATCAGTGGGGTCTGCCTCAAAAATTTGATCTCAGCTAGGGAAGACCACAGGTTTTAGTCCTCCATTTTCATCTGGTGCCATTTTGGTACACGTGTTTTTTTCGCCGGAATCCTGGGCACTGATAAACCTGGGCACTGGTTTTTCTGATTTACTCACAAACCTGGGCGCTGGAAACCGGGACCCAAAAAACCCTCATGAGTTGAAGCTTGCTTGAGCCCCCGAATGGCTCAGGCCGAAAGGACCCATCAGCGATATGTGGCGCGCCAAAAAGTGCTTGCAAGTCTTTGTTGGGATTAAAAAGGCTGCAAAAAGGTACTCAACAGCGCAAAGGTCTAAAATTATATAATTCGGCGAGCCGGAAAAGCGCAACCTGCCACTTTCTGGCGGCACAAAGTGCGGGCGTGAAGAAAAAAGTCCGTTGCAGTTCACCTGAGAGCCGCTGTTATATAGCTGCAATTAGAAGCTGTTTGAAGAAAGGGGTGTGCAACACCCAAGGTCTATGTGTTGCTGATCGCACGCAACCATGAGAATCTCCGGAAGCGCTGTTCGGCAAGGGGTTGACCCCAGCGCAACCCCCGGACCGTCTTGACTTCTTGCCACCTTCAAAGACGGCTGAAGGTGCTGCGATTAGCAATCAAAACCTGGCATCTCACTGGAGTGGACAAAAACTCCTGAAAGGGCGGCACTCACGCATAACATTCGACGTGAAATTGCGCGCTATGCTCCACAGAGCTAGCTTCGCAAACCAAAACTCCTACCGACCAGGCCCCCGAACCTCACAGATTCAATTTGCCAGACGCGCCAGAGGAATCGCCTAGTACCGCTGGTACCCAAGGAAAAGAAAGAAACCCCATGTGTCTCACCATGCATGGCATACTTGTACTATTTAGGGAACACTACTGGAATGGCATGCCAACGATGTCTTCATTCTGGAGAGCACAGAGGAAGCCGAGGAGAAGGAGCCCGTTTTGGGGTTCAACCGGGGCCTCTGTGTGTCTGTGTCCATGTGTTTTGTATAAGAACAATAGATCTAAGCGGTTGCCCATGGGACCACCGCCTAGCAACCAACGCTCAACCCAAAAAATCAATGGCTGCCCGCTGATATCGATCAATACCAGGAAGTATTGACCATCCAACTAATATCAGTAACCAATCTATCACCAATACCTTTTTTCCAACAACCAGGGAATGTGTCTTTAATCCGGGGTCGACGTAGAAGTCACCAGCGGCTTCAAACGAACTCCGATCGCCGCCTCACGAAATGTCTCACTCGTCGTCGGTGAACTCCACCAGCAGCGTGCAAGGGCCCTTCCCGTGGCGGGTTCGCCGCTCGGACGGGCAAAAGAGCTTCCCTGAGACGCTTCAGAAAGTGGCAGCCGCCAGGAAAATGTGAGCCAACAGAACAATGGCCAAAAAAGAGTGGGACCAACCAATGGACCAAGAGATGAAGGTGATTTCGGCCGGAAGAGGAACTCAGCTCTTTTAATTGTCTGCACCCAGGCTGACAAGCGGAACCCAAAGAAAACCACATTCATTCAGCTTCCCTTCAACTGGTGGAAGGGATTGGTGGTTAGGAGATGTCTTCCCAATTGGCCTGAGCGATAAAAGCTCAAGGCCCCTATCCCCAACAACCCATATCAAGGATCTGGTTCGAGATCTGCTAGGTGTTCAACTCGGGCATCGCTGCTATATGGGTATGTGTTAAAATAGGGGAGCCCCCCAAGATGGTGGTGTTCCTTTCGGTTTCTCTAATTCAACCTCGAAAGAAAAACAGAGAAAGACAGACCCATAGGCTTGCATTTGCTTGAGGTGAAGCTGTTGACACCGGCAACCAACTGTGGACCATCGAACCGGATCACAAAAACCGATCCAACAAGAGGAGCTTGGCCGACCCAACGTATTGCACCAGTGCTGCATCAGCGGAGAAGACTTGCCTTTTGCCTCCCGGTGAATCGGTGAAGGCAAGGAGACAAAAGCCATCGGGCTCCCTCGAAGACTACGCTGTTGGCCCTGTTCCGCCACGAGAGCCAAGGGCAAACCCTGGCACGGAACCGGAAGAAACACCACTCGAACACACGGAAAAGTTTCTCTGTTGCTCCCTCGAGCGCAACATCGCCCATTCCGATTTGAATGCCTGATATTTCCCACTCAAATGACGTAGCTCGCAGCTCAGAAGCTGGTCACCCAAAACCCAAAACCAACTTGCCCAGTGGCCAAGGGGAAAAACATGACCTTGCCCCTTCTTCGAGTTGGCTCGTAAATGCATCAAGTAACTTTCAGAGATACAATATGAGCAAGACTGAATGTTCCTTTCAAAAAAACTCTCCGCCCCCCCCCCCCCAGTACAGATGAACAGAAGGAACCTTCAAAAGACGCGTCCATTTCCCGGAAATAAGCTTCCTCCGCGCATCTGGTGCCTGCTTTTTGGGGGGTTCCGAGCAAAACCGGAGGCCCATCCCACGGGTTCCTTAAGGCCGGTCGCCGCCAGGCTGGCATCGCGGTCCTGGCAAATGGAACTCGATGGAACCAGCGCCACCGATGACTCAGCATGGGTTTCTTCAGCTTCCCTCGAGCTTTTACTTCCATTTGCTTGAGCCCCGGGAAAGAAAATGAAAAGATATGTCTGGTAGTGATAGATGCCCCTTAAAACCAAGAAGGGAGCATAACCAATACTCTTAAGCAAACTTCCAAGAACCAGGGGTTCAAATCCCCAAGCCACCCGTGGTTCTATCCCGTGCCAAGGAACACCTAATCCAATGGTTGTCAGCCAACTATGTAGGTTGTAACCAGTGTTCAACCACGGGGCCTCCTTTGGGGCACGCGTGGCATTGCAAGAAGTAGGGAGAAACAAACCCAACATCAGCATCTCAGAAACTGCTCTTCACATTCCCGCAGATTATTGATGTGTGGTTCCGCAAGAGATTCCCCCTATGTTGCAAGAGAACAATTCATAGACGGCAAAAAGACCTTGTTCTCTACTTGCAGTAGGGAATGGTGGATGAATCAACAGATTCCAACCCGAAAGTGCGGGAAACCCTCAATCGGTCGCATCGCAAAGCGATGCCCTTGATCTGTCGCCCGTCCCCAGGCTACCACTACAGTCCAAAAAGTAGGAAACCACGTAGTCTTATGTCTAGGCTGTGCAGTCGCTTCACCCTGGTTGCCTATGGCTTGTTCACTGGCTTCCGAGAGAATCTGCCGGAACACGCAACGTGCCAACCCGCTCAAGCCGCGTGCGGCTTGCGGCCCGCTTTTTCTCTCCGCCGTTGGACCTTGGAAGTGGGCCGGAATCGAATCAACGGGGCCAGCTGATTTTTTTTTGGGGGGGGGGTTCGGGGGTCGGGGGCTTGGGGCTTCCACTCCCACTCAAACCGCGCTTGCCTCTGAGCGTCCCAGGTTTGCTTTGCAAGTGGGGGAAGCAAGTGTTGCTATA